TGTTTTCAAATGCATAAAAATTATTTTAAAATTCACCATATTCTGGGACATAAAGCAAGTCTCAAGTAATTTCAAATAATTAAAATCAGAAGGATTCTTTATGATAAAAATTCAATTATACTGCATATCAAAAAAACATAATTAGAAAAGCCCATGTTTGAAAAAAAAGAAATACTCTCCTATAAAAGAGCTGAGAAAATTCCAATGAAAATTAGGAAAATATTTTAACTAAATATGGCCATTATGTATCAAAATTTGTGGAATATGGCTATAAGTTGAGTATAATGTAAATATATTACATTAGTATAGAGATAACTTTTAAATGTTTATGTTGAAAAGGAAGACAAGTTGAAAATGAAAAAAGTAACCCAACTCAACAAGTTAGAAACAGAATAGTAAAAAATACCCTAATAAAATAGAAAGAAATAATATTGATTAAGGCAGAAATTAATGGAATAGGAAACATGCTATATAGAAAGGATCAACAAAACTAAAATTTGGATCTTAGAAAAGATTAAACTGTTTTTATTTGGAGTTAAGGTTATGTAGAAATTTTAAAAAATGGCCTGGGCACAGTGGCTCATGCCTGTAATCCCAGCACTTTGGGAGGTCATGGCAGGTGGATAACGAGGTCAGGAGTTCAAGACCAACCTAGCCAATAGAGTGAAACCTCATCTCTACTAAAAATATAAAAATTAGCCAGGCATGGTGGTGGGTGCCTGTAGTCCCAGCTATTTGGGAGAGGCAGGAAAATTGCTTGAACCCAGGAGGCAGAGGTTGCAGTGAGCTGAGTTTGCCCCACTACACTCCAGCCTGGGCAACACAGTGAAATTTGTCTGAAAAAAATTAAAAATAAATAAATGAATAAAAAGAGAAAGGAAAGAAAAAATTTTAAAAACTGTGCAAATAATTTACAAAATCAATAGTTTATTGTTTCCAGGTACAAAAGAAACACAAATAAATCAACTGTATTTCACACATAATCAACAGGAAATAATGTGAGCTAAGTAATTTGGATTTATATTCTCACTTGAGAACATTTAGAAAAGTTGGATAAAATATAGTTTTCAAAAATGTGGGAAGGCAGCAGAGAGCTAAGTTGGTGAATAATTATGATGCCAATAATATCTGGAAAAGGACTGAAATTCAAAAAAATAAACCCTTCATTTGGGACAACTGTGTTAGGAGTATTTTTAGATTGCAAAAGGCCACTGGGAAGCTGATTAGATAGAGGTAAAGGGCTAAAGATTCAAAGGTAGAGTCCAGGGCCAGTCAAGAGGTGAGGGCCTGGTAACTCACTTTGAAACCCTGAACGGTCGAAACCTAGAAAAAAGGATGAACAGAAGAGTACTACCACAGTGTGTGGCTCAGCTTTCAGTCATCTAGGTGACCTGGAAAATCTCAGTCTCTGAAATTGGATCAAAATAATTCTAAATTACTAATGCCCAAGTACCTGGCAGAAGCGTGGATGAAAACATCATTTCGAGCATCAAGTTATTTCCAGTTTTTTCAAATACAATATTGGCAAATAATTAAAGATAACCAGGCACACAAGGAGACAAGACAATAAGAATGAAGATAAGAAGAAACAAAACCTACAGGAGGGTTTCGATTCTGGAATTATTAGATACAGACTACAAAATAATTATGCTTTTCATATTGAAGCAGATAAGAGACTGAAAATTTCAGCAAGACAATTAAAAACTGCAAGAATGACAGATTTACATGCTTGCAAAGAAACTGAGAACTGAAAACACAAGGGGCTAAGAATAACAAAGACACTCTAACAGAACAATAAGTTGGAAGGATTTGTTTTGCCAAATTATCAACAATATATCAACTACAATGATGAGGATGGTATACTAGCACAGGGATAGAAAAAAGGGAACAAAAATTTCAGAACGAGATGTGAGGACTAAGCTCTGATTTTTTGTGTTGCCCAAATTCCTATCTAAGGGGTCTGGGAAGTCATGCTCTGTAAACCGTAAATTCTCATCAGATGGGTTTTATTTAACCTTTATATCATGACTTACTTTCCAATCTGACTCTAGTATAACAAGGAAGAAAATAAAAATATTTTACCCCAAAACATAGGGGTTTCTCTGCCACTTCTTGAAATGGCCCTGCAAAGCCATCCCTTGTGGGAAAAATCCACATTCTATAGAGAATCCCCTTCCCCCACCCCTTTTTATTCCCCCTTCCTTCCTTTCCAGATCCAGGAGATAATCAAGAGCCACACACCCTTTTAGGTCTGATAAGAAACATGTTACAACCTGCTCTCTGAAGTCTGCTGAGAGCTTCTTCTGCACAATAAAACTTGGTCTCAACAATCCCTTATTTAACCTGAACATTTCCTTTCTGTTGATCCTAGATAAACTCAACCAGTTGTCATCCAGAAAATGTTTTACATTTACTTACAGCCTGGAAGCCCCTGCTTTGAGCTGTCCTGCCCTTCTGAACCAAACCAAAATATTTCTTAAACATATTTGATTGATGTATCATGACTTCCTAAAATATATAAAACCAAGCTGTACTGACCACCTTGGGCACATGTTCTCACGACCTCCTGAGGGCTATGTCACAGGCCATGGTCACTCATATTTGGCTCAGAATAAATCTCTTACAATATTTTACAGAGTTTGACTCTTTTCATCAACAGATGTGTTTACATATGGATATAATACATGACTTTGGTGGCATTATAGAAAGGAGGAATAAAACCCAGACTTTTCGGTAAATGGTGGTGAGGCATCTCCTAGCAAACACTAAATTAATACCTCATAAAAAAATTAAATATGAAAGGCAAAATTAAAACTTTTAGAAGACAATATAGAAGACTATCTTCATGACTCCAGAATAGGGAATGGTACTCTAATTTTAAAAGACTGATACTTCTCAGTACTTAACCATTAATAAATTATTTGTATCAAAGAACATCATAAGGGAGAGAAAGGCAAACCACAGAATGGGAGAAGATATTTGTAACTATATAGCCAACAATGAGGAAAAATATTAGCAACAGAACAAAAATGTGTGACAGACCTGATGAGACACTTTACAAAAACAGAAAGTCAAATTGGCCAATAAACTTGCGAAAAAAGTTCTCAACTTCACAGGTAATTAGTGAAATGCAGAGTGAAACTTCAATGAGATATAACTGCACCTCCACCAGACTGGCAAAATTAAAACAAAAATCTGTTAACACCAGCATTGACCAAGATATGCAGAAACATAGTTTGGATATTTGTCCCCTGCAAATATCATGATAAAATATGATCCCCAATATTGGAGGTGAGGACTGGTGGGAGGTGTTTGCGTTACGTTGGATCCCTCATGAATGGCCCGGTGCCCTCTTTGAGATAACGAGTTCTTGCCTCATGACTTAATGTGAGATTCGATTATTAAAAAGAATCTGGGACCTCCCCTATTTCTCTCTTGCTCCTGTGGCCATGTGATATGCCAGTTCCTCCTTTGACTTCAGCCATGATCGCAAACTTCCTGAGGCCTCACCAGAAGCTGAGCAGATGCTCAGGCAATGCTAATACAACCTGCTGAACCATGAGCCAAATAAACCTCTTCTCTGTATAAACGACCCACTCTCAGGTATTCCTTTATAGCAACACAAATACAACCAACATACTAATGTTTAGGAAAAAATTTGTAATTGTCTATTAAAATTTAAGATATGAATATATTATGACCAAAAAATTTGACTCCTAGATATATACTTTATTTGTACTAGGAGTTAGATAAAATAATATTCATTGTGAAACTGTAATTGCCTGAAACTTAAAGTTCCCCGATTGTCTACAGTAAATAAATTGTGGCATATTAATGCACAGGCAAATTAGGCAGAAATATTGAAGAATGAAGTACAGCTACAACCAACATGAATAAATCACATGTTGAACAAAAGCAGCCACAAAAGAATGTATGATTTTGGATAAAAATTCAAAAACAAGCAAACTGTATTGCTAAAGTTTACATACATAGGTGCTAACACTATAAAAATAAAGAGACAATTATCACAAAAGGTAAGATATTGGTAATTACCACAGGGTATATGGAGGGGAGCTGGTTGTGACTGGGAAGGAACTACATGGGTAGTTACTGAACTGTTTTCAATATATTCTATTAAGCTAAGTGCTAGTTATATAGCAACTTTAAAATTATTCCTTGAACTGCATATTTGTATTTTGTGTATTCTTGAATACATATTTGAATATATATTCCTCAATTAAAAAACAAAGGTATGACATAGAAAGAGCAAAATAAATACATATTATCAATGGATACTTACTCTGATCCCCAAGAGCTCAACTTTCTGATTTTTTTCTCAGAGAAAGCGTTCAGATCATGATGACACGTTTTTAAATCTGTGAAAAGTAAAATAACTAAACCCATACACAGTGATTATATAAAATTAGACATTTGCAATCACAATGAATTTATAATTATATTCATTAGAGTGGAAAGATTTAGGTCACAAGATTTTTTTTTTCCCTAAAAATCTCAAGAGAACAATTTTCTGTCTTCATTTTGCTAATTATAAAATAATGGACTCTAAAACATAGCTGCTTCTTTCAATGTTCCATAACATCACCAGAATGTGACATAGTAGATTAAAAAATAAAAATAAAGATATTCATTTATTTCCATGTCCTACCTTTGGGACAATTTATGAGGAACTTACAGACATGTAACAGAACTGCTTTGAAATCTAAAAATAGATGGACTTTACAAATCCCTAACCAGCAGTCTGGGATTTACAAGATCCTCTAGGTTTTACATGGTCACAACTATTTCTCTCCAACTGTTTTAAAAGAATTTCCTGGAGCCATTTGAGGCCATTTGAGGTAATGTCCTTCCACACCTCGTAACTGCTATATCTCCATGATTGCAAACTTGAAAATTAGGCAACACCAAAGCAACATTACTCACAAAATAAATGGCAAAATCAGAATCTCTGGTGTCAACATACGAAACATGATTTACAAAGATATTTTTAAATTTCTTAATTTATTTTTAATAAGTAAAAAATTACTCATTGGAACCGTACAAAAATCAAATCATTAATTTTTGCACCTGGTATTTCAGTCACCAACAGTGATCTCATGGTAAAGAAATAAACAAAACAATGGGAATTATCATAAACTTTACCCTGGCTTTCTAGCTTAGTAGAACTAAACAGAAGAAATTATGGCAATAACCATTAACTATAGAAGAATAATGAAAAAATGGTTTCAGGTTTAATCACAAAATGAACTTAATTTTTGTTGATTTTGTTTCATCTGATAAAGCACTAATATTTATTAATATGAACTGATAGCCTCATTCTAAATTTACTCCTGAAGAGATGTCAAGACTTCAATAAAATATAAGCAAGTTATTGAATCATATTTACGGACTGCTGAATGACTACCTGGAAAATATCAGTTACTCTCAAAGAGCACAAAACAAAGTGAATGTGAAAAAAAAGGCTTCTTTTCAAAAGTCCTTTTATTAGTCCTATCCTCTAAAATTCTAAGAAACAGAGCCTTGATATTCCTGGATTCAGTTTTAAGTAACCTTAATTTAAAATATGACACTTGGAATATGCACAATGGTAAGGAGTAGGATATGTGAACAAAATTTAATTTCTTTTTTCCAAATGTAGTCCTTTTCTTTAAATTCATCCTATCCATTTTTGCCCAGTTCTCTATGTATAGATTATCCTTTAATTATACAGATTCACTTTCTACTTCCACATATATTTTCTCCACTTGATGGTACTTTTACAAAAGAAAGAAACAATACAGCTAGTTGACAAAGTAATTTAAGCTATTTGTAAATGAATAAAAAGTATAATACATGATATAAAAAGATACCAAATTTGAGTAATACTGATGTTAATCTAGCTTTTTATTTAATAAAGTACCTACTAATAGTCTGAGCAGGAGAGAAGAAAAAAAGGAACTAGAGGGAAATGACTTCCCATGGTTAAAAAAAATGCCAATTGCTTCAGAATGTGATAAAAGAATCATTTACTATTTTCACTGAGTTTACAGTGTTGGGTGCTACGGTTTATATCATTCTAATGAAAGTACTTATAGAAACATCTGTAATAGTTCATACCACAAAACAGAAAGTTCATCTCAATAAAGACCTTAAAAAATAAATTTTTATCTTCATTAACTCTCTTTCTGGGAATGGGAATGAAATAATGTGCTTCTCTTAAAAAAAAAATCCATTAGTTTTATGGGAAAAAAAGACCCCCCTAGCAATAATTTTTAACATTCTACTTTTCATCTATTTCTAAGGACACTCCCTTTACAAAATCTTTTAGTTTTAGATAATAGGACAATCAGGTTTAGAGTCTCACCTAAATAAAATAGCCACATTAGAAGGCATACTGAAGAATCAAATGGTTAGCCACATTTGTCTGTTCACATTCACGGATTCTCTAAGAGGGCTGTGAGAATCCATATAATACTGTTCACATTTAGTCCAAGTTAACATGTCTTATCCGACCTGCTGCTCCTACAACACTGATGCTATCAACAAAAATCCTGATTTTGGGACACAGTGACATAACGAACTCTGGTTAAACGAGCAGAGAGGTAACAGGACAGTAAACTGTAACTGTACAATTTAAAATGTCCACTCTTCATCCACTATTACCATACCTCTTCTTCCCAGTGTATTGAATTCTCAAAGCCTAACCTTATGAGAGGTGCTGGGTGCCAAACACTACTTGTATAGAAAATCGGTCTTTAAACAAAAAAGAAATTCATTAAATAAAATTAAACTTTTTTGATAGTTGCATTTGTTGCTTTCAATTTCTTCATTACATATTTTTCCTTCTTTTTATCCAGAGAGATTAATACACAGATTAATACACACATTTCTTGTAAGCATTATAAAATGGCATTCCAGTTCAAAGTTGCTTGTGATCATAGCCATGTGTGAACCATTAGACAAGTGTATACTATGCCCCAAAATGTTTTATAATTCTTCAGTGCAGTTTCCTACTGATGTTTTCCTTAAAATTAAGGCTTCATGAGAGAGAAATCCATAATATTATGAGCTGATTTTCTTTAGCTTCTGAATTAAGTGCACTCTTTCCAAAATCAAGTAGTCCCGGAGTAACGTTAAGACAACTTCTGTTAATCAGTGTCATGACTGAAGTAGTATCTTACTGGAGGTCCAGGCAAATCTTCATCTCCATCAATGTCTGGAGCAAATGACACAGTAAGATCCACATATTTCTTTTCAGTAGAAGGTTTTACAAGTTTATGCATTCTAAGAAAAATAAGCAAGAATAAATATTTTGGTAAATTCTGCAAAATGAAAAAACAATTTGCTGACTAATGCCATCCAGAGAAACTGGTCTTGTATCTAGACTTCATTTAACATCTAAAAATAATCTGCTTTCATATATTCATTTTTCTTTACTAAAAGATCTGAATTCAAGACACTCATTTACCTAACAGTGAATAAATTTGGATACATTGGTCATGATAAAGAATACAAACCATTTATTGAAAGACAAAAAGTCTCAGACTGCAATCTCAGCACTTTGGGAGGTCAAGGCAGGCGGATCACCTGAGGTCAGGAGTTCAAGACCAGCTAAAACATGGTTTGGCCAACATGGTGAAACCCCATCTCTACTAAACATACAAAAATGAGCCGGGCACAGTGGCACATGCCACTCAGGAGGCTGAGGCAGGAGAATTGCCTGAACCTGAGAGATGGTGGTTGCAATCATTTAAAAAAAATAATTCTCTTCCTATACTTCCTCTTTAGTTTGGAGGCATCATGAATTCAAGCATTTCTCTGTAGTGAGTAAAAAAGTAAGCTAGAATTAACCTTAAAATGCAAGCTAGAAATACAAAGTAAAATTAATTCTTAGGTTTTTTCCTTATATCCAATGTTTATCCTGTTTATTTACTGAAAAATCACTGTCCTTTTTATTGTCACTACTGTCTTAAGTCATCATCTATACACCCCTTAGATAATTTTGTTTTAGCTTTCTCCAGTCTCTTTTCTAACTCCAATCGATACTGCTCCTAGAATTCTTTTCAAATATAAATTTGATGTATTCTCCTGCCTAATAATGTTATCTATCATACACTGTATACCTACTTCATGCCAGGCTCTGAAGGATGTAATCAATTTAATCCCCAGTAGCTCTTTCCATTTCACAAAGATATTTTGTCCCATATAAAAACTTTTCATTTTTCTACCATTCATGATCACTACCTCATACTTCCATCATTCCAAAAAAATCTGAATTCTAATTTAGAATTTAGTAGGAATTTAAAATACTACTCTTAATTTTTCCAAAAGATACTCAGGTATCCTCATGAAAATCAATGTAAGGCAAATTAATGCCTTTGCTAATTAATAGTAGTTTTACCTTTGTATGTTATGTTCTTTTTAGCTGGAAAGACTGTTGCTTTTGCCAGGAATAATCTTTCTTCAAAGGTAGCTCAAATGAAATCTACCCTGAACTAGAGGTCTGAGCACAATACCATGTAAAAATTTTCATTATCACAATTACTCAGTTATACTTTAATGATAAACAGGACGAGAGGTGAGACTTACCCATGTCATCATCTCAAAAGTTACGAGCAACTCTTGTAGAATTGCTTGTAAAGAGGAAACAACTAAAGCAAAGGTCCCATGATGGAGCATCATAAAAGTGAATATTCAAGGACAAATAAGGAGGCCAATGTAGCTGGATACTGTGAGGGGAAAGTACTTAGAAGGATAACTAGGAATCAATTTCCGTTAAGACTGTGAACTGCTTGAAGGCAGGGCTTGATGAACATGTATGATAACAAAATATTAACAGGATTAACATTTATGGAATACTTCTTATAAACTAAGTTTCAAAAGCTACTTAAGGTAACAAAACTAAGTAGCTGAGCAAGAATGTGAATCCAGGTCTTTCTAAAGCCAGTCTCATGCTATTAATCACAATCCCACTGACTGACTTAACATGTTCAGTACTTAACAGAGACTCAATAAATACTTGATAAAAGAACAATGAAATAAAATAAAAAATACTATCATGCTGGAGGTTTTAAATATTGGCCAAATCTTAATAGCATTTTAAAAGAGTTTGCCACAAATTTTATACTCCATTAATCAATACATTTTATGACCATATACATTCCAATGCAGCATAAAATAAAGGAATTCTAAACACTACTCCTGATTTATCCAAAAGATACAGGGATCCTAATGAAAAACAATATAAGCCAAATTAATGCCTTAGCTAATATAATAGTAGTTTTACTTTTTAAGGAATAGATAATTCAGACTGGATTATAATTTAGGAGTGATTAACCTCAACTAATTATCATAGTTAAAGCCAACAGATATGTTAATCATCATGCAGAGATTCATTTAGTCATCTGACAAATATTTGCTGATAAACTTTTATGTGCCAGGTTATCGATCTAAGTGCTTGAGATACAACAGTGACAAGATCAAATAAACATTCCCATTCTTGTGAAATATATGTTGTAGTTGCAGGGAAATAGCTAATATACAGTACCTAGGCTGGGTGAGGTGGCTCACACCTGTAATCCCAACACTTTGGGAGACTGAGGCAGACGAAATCACCTGACGTCAGGAGTTTAAGCCCAGCCTGTCCAACATGGTGAAACCCTGTCTCTACTAAAAATACAAAAATTAGCTGAGCATGGTGTCAGGTGCCTGTAATCCCAGCTACTCAGGAGACTGAGGCAGGAAAATCACTTGAACTCAGGGGGTGGAGGTTGCAGTGAGCTGAGATTACACCACTGCACTCCAGCCTGGGCGACAGAGGGAGACTCCGTCTGAAAAAAATAATAACAATAAAATAAAATAGTACCTGGCACACAGCAGGTACCCTGACCAATAATTTGTTGAATAAATGAATAACAATAGTAATTTGGCAGTTTGATTCCTCCTAAACCTGGTCACTAAGTGTTTCAACATAAGAGATGAATCCACTTTTACTTAAGTGTACTGACCAAATCAAGTTTCTAAACCTATTAACTGAAGAACTGAATCTCTCAAGAGGTAGGCTGTTGGTCTTCACCTGGCAGATTTACTGTCTTATTAATGTCATTAGACAAGACTAATGCTTTTATCTGAATTATGGTAAACTCTCTATTTAATTTTTTACTGTGCATCAACTTAAATCTAAATTCTTGCTAATCACTACATATAATGTTGAATACTTACGTTAACTTCAATCTTTTTGCATGACCAGGCATTACAGGAACATAAAGCATTTTGACTCCCTGTACCACCATTGTTGGCTCAATTCCATACTTCTCCTAAAAGTGAATATCAAAAAGAGAAACAACAAAGCCTTGCTCAAACATAAAACGCTTATTTAACATTGTTTGTGAACAATGTTTTATGACCAGTAGAAAAAGCAAATTCATGCTAATTATAATTTCCAATAAAATTATAAATAAGAACTAAATAGAAACCAGACATAAAGCTACTAATGAACCAAGTGAATAAAAGTATCTCACTTTGACTGCATTTATGAAATCCAAGAGGGTGAAATCTTCTTTTCCATGTACAGTCCATCGATCCCAAATTGTAAATGATATTCCATTTCTGTTATAGAAAAATATTCAGAACAGAAACTTTGAAATTTTTCTCCCTTTAGTGATGATATAAAAAAAACCCACCTCCAGCAGTCCATTATTTCTGATTGGGCTAGAAATTAATGTGGGAAAATAAAGGATAATACACCTTCTAAAATATTCCATAATATTATTTCCCCATCACATCATATAAGTAACCACTTTTAATTAGTAACTTGTGGATCCTTCCAGTATCTCATTATTTTTCAGTATGTTTTAGCAAGAGAGTTTTGTCTCTTTTTTTAAAATAGCTGCATGGGTTTCACTGTGTGGATGTTTGAGTCCCCTGTTATTAGACACTTGGGTTATTCTAATCATTGGCTATGATAAATAATGCCAGAATAATTATCTTGCAAATATATAGTTTGAGACGTGTGCAAAGGTATCTGAAAATCTGACATATAGTGCTATATATTCCTTATTGTGGATTACACTATTTTGTACTCATCAGTAATGTGTGAAAGTGTTTGCTTTCTCACAGCCTTGGTAAGATAGGTGTTTTTCAAGTTTCTGGTTGTTGCCAATCTGAAAACTAAAAAGCATAGGCCCAGGGAATTGTTCTGCCTTATCACAAGCTTGTGGAATTGAATTCTAAATCTCATGACCAGAGTACCTACTAATTCATCTGGGCAAGGCAGACACAGATGAAATCATAATGCCAAACAATGTGGCAGATAAAGTGTTGTAAGGGTTCTTTGGCTACTTCAGTCAGAAATATTTCAGGAAGATGAAGTTTGAGCTGATCTTAAAATGATGGGAAGAATATACACACACACATATAAAGGGAAAAAAGGTGAAGCCAGTATTTTTCCCTTTTAAAAGTTAAGATATTTTATTTCATTTTCATTATACAAGAGAAACAGACCTTCATACATACCTGATTTTAGTTTTCCTTACTTCAGATGTCTCTGTAAACACTATAATTGGAATGGCAAAGTTAAGAAAACAATTTTTGTAAGCTTCAAATGGATAGCCACCAGTTACTTTGATCATCTCCAAGGCAACCTAGATAAAAGAAAGTGATCTGATTATATAAATAGCCTAAAACTATCTACGATTTTAATCGGATCTATTCAATTTTCAAAAGTTTTCAAGCATTTCTTTGTAGATAGTAATAGCAGCTATGGGACTAGAGCAATGTAAATTTCTTATTATAGGTCTTCATACTTTAGCATATTTTATACTTTCAAATGTTCAACCTACTCTATACGTGGTAACAGTTATTAAAAAAAATTAATTCGACCATGTAATCTCCCTACTTTGAAAACAGATGCCAGAACTCAAAAAATACAACAGTCTAAAATCACTTAATACAGGGGTATATAATTACATAGCTTCTAGAGTAACTGGAGAGTAATGATGTAATATGGTATAATAACTAGGGCCACATTTAAAGATTCTGAATCATTATGAATAAAGATTAGGGAAGTTCATTTTATTCAAGAAAAACAAAGCACCTGCTTTGTATGAAAGATACAAAGATCAGTGAGAGAATTACCGCCTATAAGAAAAATCACAATCTATGTTGAGCTTATTTTTAATTTTAAAATGTATATTTATGTAAAACTTCAAAATATAAATGACTGCATTTTCAGAAAATATCTTGAAATTTTAAATTATGAGATCCAATATTTATCCTTCCTTCTCTAACATCTTTGAGTGACTAGGTTAGTATAATGGGAAAGACAGGGAAGAGGCAATGAAAGAGAAGCATTTTTATTCAAGGAATAATAAACTTACCAAGCCAGAAACCGTAGCAGTGGTTGTTGCTATAGCAGGTATAATTTTACCAGCTATGCGCTTTGTTTTGAAACGGTCAGCTGGTTCAATACTGTACATTTTGGCACGAAGATTTGATGCAGCTGTGATAAAATCTATGTGTCCGTTACGATCATCATCTTTTTCAAATGAAAGCACTGCCATCTGAAGGTCACCTGATCACATCAACCGGAAAAACAAAGTTTCATAGCAGGCAGTAAAGGTTTTGCTAGGTAAAAAGCAATGTGGGTTTACTATATTTTAAAGATTTCTTTTTATATTTTTAAATGACTGAGAACCATAAGAAAAATCCAAGCAACTAGTTATTGAAGGACACGGAAACAGCTTTTCCCATGATTTAAACAGAGCCAATATTTTTTAATTAAAAAAAAAAAAAGAAAGAAAATGATGGTTTTAATGCCACAAAATTAGGGATGTTTTTATGTTTTAAAAACTTTCTAATAGCAAAATAAAAGTTATATACTGCACATCTGCTATCAAGTGGTTTACAATAAAAAAGCCAACATTAGGTATAGTTCAAAAATTTATTCCATAAATCCTACTTTGAAACATTTTCCCTCTGATAATAAGAATAGGGTCAATGGGTCAAATTAAAATAAGTATTTTCTGAAATCTTTGTGGATTTGTGGTTTCCACGATCCTTCTAATTACTGTTATTCTGGGTTATTTTTCCTGAAATTCTACTGGTTCATACCAAAAATCTCAAAAGTTTGGGAACCACTGATTTATAAAACTAAAAGATGGTGAGCAGGTCAAAACAGATGAGCGAATGTTTTTGAGAAATTAAAAATTCAGCTTTCCTGTACTTTTATATTTAAGACCATCTAGCAAGGAAGTATATCTAGGTCACTTTGTTTTCCCTGTCAGTAATTATGAAGATTAGGAACCTAAGAAGAGTTCCGTTTATGGTTCTTTATCCTAAAGTGATTTAATTGGGTCGGTCCAAAGATTAGATTCCACAGGGACCCCATTAAATTGAATTTTTAATTCCTTAAAAACAGAGCTATTCAGTCATGGTTTTAGACCTGCTCACCATCTAAAGAACTAAAATGATCAGAAAAACAACAAAGCCGTTACTGCGACTGGATAATTAGATTTGAGGGTAGGGCAACAGTGGGGAAAATGATTAATTTAGTCACAGTTAAAGATGAACACTGACTTTGATATGATCACGAAATCAATTAATGTCATCATCATTATTGTTGTTATTAAATTCCACAAATTCTTAGGTGTAGAGCTTGGTGAAAATAAAAATTCATCTCGTTCAAAACATTTTTATAAAGATTTTCCCTTACTTTTGGTGGCTTCGTTAGATAAAATAGCCTTTTCTAGTTGGAAAATAGCATTCCTCTCATCTTCACTGCTAATAGGAACATGGTCCGGTTTCCTTGCAGTTTCATCTGTTTGAACAACCTTTGAATATACGAATATATTCCTATTAATGTTATTTTCTTCATCTAAGTTTGGCTACCATTTAACCATTTTATCAAATCACAAAGAGAAAATATTTTCTCTATGTATTTTAATCAGATTATTAATCATTGGTCCAATATATTTTCAGAAGGTATTTTGTTATTCACGTATGTATTTTATTATCTATCTTCTCACACAGGAATGTAAGCTCTGTAACAATAGGGATGTTCATGTAACTTGTTCACTGACAGAACTCCAATATATCTAATTTTTATTACCTACAATGATATAGTGGGCATAATAAATACTGAGAAGCTCATACAATCTAAGTCCATATTGATCATTTTAAAAATTCCACACTAGAATAAAATTAGTATTAATTAACAGTTTGTGATTCTGACAAATCTACTTTAAACTCAAGTTGCACTGCTCTAACTAGTACAGAGCTGTTTCATATCAAAGAAACTAAAGAAATCCATAAAATATATAATATGGCTATCCTTTAAGTATTTACTGACTGCTGCTAAGTTTTTTCCTTAAGAATATGTCTTCTTTCATATAGAAAGTTTGGTAGGATTAAGGCCATGCATACCATAAGTAATTTAACCTTAAAAATTACTTATTAGGTATTTCATTGGGGCATGAAAATTAACATTCTCAAGCCAAAAAATTAGCTTCATCATGAAGTAATATTTATTAAAAATATACTCATATTATCATTTTACAAATTAAACATTATTACAGAAAATTAAGAAATATTAAGGAGTCCAGGAAGCAGAAACTTTTGTTTGAATGGCTAGCTGAAATTTTTGGTTGTGACATCTGCAACCAGAAGTACCATACCTGAAACTTCAGTGTGAGCTCCTTTAAGGATTTGTGAAAAAGCCCATAGTTCATGTTAAAACTGTAGTTAAATTGCTCAGGAGAATTTATTACCCCCAAACTTTGATACAGATAGCAGCAATGCAAGGCCAAAAACATACTGAAGCAAGAGTAATAACGGACAGTAAAGTTAAGCCATTTTTCCTTGGCTTCTCTCTAGTTTTGCCCTTGGAAACACAGGCTAAGAACTTTCTTTGGGACTTGTTTATCCTCATCCTATTTTTATTCTTTATAGGCTATAAGTCATACACACTGTGTTCTGCAAACCCATCTACCTGGACAAAATCAACTACCCTACAAGTACTTTATTTTCCTGAAATAAAAATGCAGAATGAAAGGCTGCACACACCACTTCTTTCTTGAATTTTGCAGGGAGGTGGTCACTACTCCACCTTTTCTGGTATAGCTAAATTTTGTGATTTTTAGAGAACATACAAGAAAGGCATATATTGAACATGTAAAAAAGAAAAAAAAAGTTTTCTATTTCATTGGCTACATTTCATGTTCCATCTTTACTAATACTCCCTAATGTTTTTGTTTTTTTCTCCTGTATTTTCCTGGTAAAATCCCAACCCTAGTTATAGCCAATCTTCCATCCATTATACAGTACAATACCACACAAGAAGCTAAATTCTGGCTGGAGAAAAGGTAAGGATCTTTTCTTGACAATTATTTCATACCTTCACTCCACTGGACAATTGTTTCATACCTTTTTTCCCTTGCTTTTACTTCCTTTATCTTCTTATCCCGTTCACTCTGAGCTACTAAGCTAGCTTCTTATTTCAACTAAGAAAATAACAATCTTTTTTCTCTCACACTAATTCCATTCCCTTAGAAATATCTCAGAGCTATAGTAAGATATAAACAGAATCCAATCTTTTATCATCACTTTCCTGCTACCTACTACTTCATTCAGACCATCAGCATCTTTTTGCCTGTACTCTTGTAGTAACCTCCTACAGCTTTTCCTGCTTCCTTGCTTGTGTAAACATGTATACAACATTCTTAACACAACAGCCAGAGTCACTCTTAAATCTAAGTCAGATCATGTCACTCTTCTTAAAATGCTCTACTGGCTTTTATTCTCAAGGTAAAACACTAAGTATTTATCATAACCCCAACCATCTCTGTAATTTCTTCATTTACCACTCTCCCTCTTGTATATTCTCTTCTAGACGAGTCCTGACCTTAAAAGTTTTTCAGTGCCTTTCTCTGCACTTATTTCTGCTGCATGCATTGCTCTTTCACTATTCCTTCACTTTCTTCAGGTTTCTGTTCAAATGTTACTGTTATCAAAGAGTCTTCCCTCACTTCCATCCCATATAAAATGATACCAGCTCCATCACTCTTTATTTCTTTTCCCTGTTGTATTTTTCCTTCTTAGCACTTATACTCAAACTGCAATATTATGTACTTATTAGCATTTTTGTTTATAGTTCCACTCTGCACCACTGGGAATATATCATTCACAAGAGCAAGAAATGCTCATTTTGATATTCTCTAGGTTTAGATTGGGACTTGATACAAGTCCAAATTCCCAAACTATTTGCTGAATGAATGAATTTTTAAACATACCTTATTGGAAGGTTTGAATTCCTGAATCTTTACTTCTGAAAGAATATTCAAGAGGGCATCTGTTGATAAGTCCTGTTTTTAAAAAAGTAATTTTACCAACAAACGTATTATTCTATTTCTAAATTCTAAAGCTAAAAATATCCTATAAAAGGTCCTTAATCACATTATAGTATGTAATACTTTCTTATCTGAATATGTAGACATCCATTTGAGATATTTATATTTATTTCTATAAATTATCCCCCCATAAAGGTTATGGGGGAGGAGAAGGTAAGGTATAAAAAAGTACTATTAGTCAACAAACTTGAAATCTTAGTCCTTCTGAAAATTTTTTAAAAGGTAGTTTTAGGACTAGTTGTAAATGTAAAACGGAGTGACTTGATCAGGGACTATCTTTTTAATTCCCTTAGCTTTATGTTTTATGTTTTTAATGTTTTACAAAGTTTTCTGAAGTTGTCAATAAGTAAATTTACTCAATAAGTAAAATAAGTCAATGGAATTCATACCTTGAGAAGGAGGAAAATATTTAAATGGTTAAAGATGAACTTAGATGAATTTAAAGCTATGGGTTGCATCTATATTAATCCTTGAGAAGCTGCTTGGCAAAACCTGAGACACGGTGCTTTTGAGGTCAACTACCACACTCACCACATTACTACTGTTTTTCCCAAAAAGAGTATCAGACTGAATCCCATTATTTTTACTCAACAAATATTTACAGTTTATTTGTATAAATTCCAAAAAGGATTAATCTAAAGCAGACATTGTTATTTGAATCCAAGATAGCCAATGTTAATTATCAGATCTGATTCATATTTCTCTGTTTAGCCTACCTAAAAGTACAGCAATTTACTTAGGAAGAACATGCATTTGTGAAGAAAAGAGACAGATGCCTCTCAAATAAAACCACATTGGGCCCGTTAGATGTTAGTTAATGAAGACAGCGTTTAAGATAATGGGTATGATGCTAAAAGTAAGAAACGTCAACACAGAGGAGCATTTTCAGATTTCCTGAAAAGCATGTTAATTATTACAAAATAAATCAAACATATGTTAACAAAGAAAACCTCTAAGAAATATTTCTAAATTGCTATAAAATGATTCACTGTGGCTTTTTAGAATAGGATAACTGAATCTAATAAACAGCTTATAAATATTTTAAAAATAAAGTTTGACTGCATTTTACAAATATTGCTGTTTCACTGCTTCGATTCAGAAAGAAAAATCCGACTTCTACTTAGCAATACTGCAATGAGCTTTTAGCTTTCATTATGTTAGTATGGGCAAAAATACAATAAAAAGTCTATATCAAAAAGAATGATTCTTATAACTAGTAAATATTTTCGTGCAATTAGTGCATCAGCATCTAATTCTAATTTGGTTTTGCATCACTTGTTAAGGCTTAAAGAATATCTTACCTCTTCTGTAAATGGAATACAATATACTGTAGCATATAGTTTTGCAGCATTCTGAAGGAAACTGAGATGCCTTTTGAAATAAAAAAATAAAGCAAAGTTTGAATGCAAAGTTTTAAAGATGATACTTAACGCATTATGAACTATTGCCTTTAAATGTAATTTGAAGAAATATAACCACAGAATCATTTTTTCAGGATTTTTTTAAGTTAGACAAAAAATTCTGGTCTCTACCAAAACACTATATAGATTAAAAAAGACAAAACATCAAACAGTTATTCTCAAAACCACTAACATTCAGGTAATGATAATGACTACCTTCGGAAGGAGTGAGTGAACAGAAGTAGAAAACTCAGACAAGTGAACGAAAATATATTTTAAGTCATAAGAAATATTATACATTTGTTCTAATGAGTATATATCAAGTTCAAATATTTATATACATAAGGCTGGGTGTGGTGGTAGGGACCTGTAATCCCAGCTATTTGGGAGGCTGAGGTGGGAGGATTGCTTGAGCCTAGGAGTTCGAGACCAGGCTGGGCCACATAGTGACACCTGTCTCTTTAAAAAAAAAAAAAGAAATAGAAAAAATATACATACACACACAAGCATGAATCTAATGTGTATCTAATATAGTGTGTTTCTAGGTATTCACACAAAGACAACTCCTTTGAAAATAATTTGAAATTATTTAGAAAGCTATTCAGTATTATTTTTTCTTCCATATAACTGAAGATTCTTTTATTTTGATTTAATTAAATATAAAAACACATTGTCATTTTACTAATTTATGGATAAAGTAAAATAGTGATTTTGGTTTCAACTTAGATATTTATTATAAATAATGTGGTTATTTACCATGTAAATAAATGGATTCACATTTGTGTGGGAAGGGTTGTGGCTGGCTTTCTTGGTCAGAATGCCTTGTTAACTCTTAAATTAACACGGATGAAATAATTTAACATTAAAGAGCCTAAGGTTTTCACTCTGCAATTTACAGTTAAGAAATATATAATGAAGGATACATATAAAACTAAATATAAATACTTACAAAGGTTCGTTTAAATCAAATTTTATCGGAGAGGGTGGCCTCTTTGGCGACTGCCAAAACAAACCTAGCAAAAAGATACAAATATTTTCAATGTATATAGCCAGTAATAAATTTCATTGAAATTTCTTCTCAACATTTATACTTACTGCCATCTTTTAATCGTATGTCCAGAGGGAAACAGTGAAGAAGCTGAAGAGCCTAAAGAAAAAAATAAATTAAAGGCATCCATTATTTAATATTATATGAGGAAAAATTAAAATTTAAAAATGTTTTGTGTAAATATATACACATGCCTCAAAAATCAAAACACATTAAAAGATACACAGTGAAGTCTCCCAACCACTCTTGTATTCCATCTGTCCATTCTCCTGTCACCCATCCTCATAAAGAAAAATTCAAAATAACATTTTCTATCATTATTTGTTTTTGGAGAGGTGGTATCTACAGCAAACAAATATAGATTACTTCACTCCTTTTTCTATAAATGGTTGCATATTTAGATGTCATTCTGCTCTTTTTAAAGAGCTAATACTTAAATCACACAAAACCAGAAAAAACACACAGTATTTTGTATTTTTGAAATAATACATGTTTGAAATTTGCTTCAAAATCATCTAGGGGAAGGTAAGAATGAATGGGGATGGTGATGAAACAAGATTTATCTATGAATTGATAATTGCTAAACCTGGGTGATAAGTAAATGATAATTACATTAGGGTTCATTATACTATTTCTTCTACACTTCTACAGCTGAATTTTTTCATTATTTAAAAAAAGGTTTAAAAAATTAACAGAAGATAAGAACTAGAGAGTTCCTGAGATTTTGAAACAGAGGTCATTGATAATCATGGTAAGAATAATCTGAAAAGTAATGAGCAAAGTAGTCAAATTTACTGGGTGAGAAAGTAGTAACACTGAGTAGTACAGACCACTTTTCCAAGAAGTAGAGCTCTGATGAAAGTAAAAAGACAGAAGTACAAATAAAATATTTTTAAGTGGGGTCCGGTGGCATGCACATGCCGTCTCAGCTACTTAGGGGCTGGGGCAGGGATCACTTGAACTGAGGAGTTCCAGGCCAGCCTGGACAACATAGGGAAAACCAGTTTAAAAAAAAAAAAAAGATGCTTTTAAAGAAGATGAACTTAAGAGCCTAAAGAGAGGGAAAGATTAAAGAGAATGCAAGACACATTCCAGCAACTGTTTTTCACTGGAGGTAGGAACAACAGCTAATATTTTGTAATTTTTTTATGTGTCAGGCTCTGTTCTAAATGCTTTATAAGTTTTACCTCCTTTGATCCTCACCAGTGCCTTATGTATTAGGTACAAGTTTATTATTTCTATTTTACAGATGGGAAAGCAGACACAAAATGTGATTATCAGATATGGGTGGAAATGGCAAAATCCCAGCAAAATTTCTGACCGAATATCCCTATTTTCTCAGTTTCTTGCTTCTTCTATTATGAACAAAATTCTTTTAGATTAGCATGTGTTCTCATTTAACTTACTACTAATTTCTGAAAAGCTTGCCAAAATAAAGAATACAAGTTGCAGGTCAGTAAAATTAATTTGTTAATGACTAAATAAGCCAAGGTCAGACCTTTTCTTAATGTCTCAGAATGCATACTTACCTTATGGTTAAAGTATTTTTCAAACTTTAATCTTGCTAATTCTACACACTGAGACCAATTTCTAGGTCTTCTGCTAAGTAACTTTATAACTTGAAAACAGCCTTCTAAACTGTGTCCACTCTGTATCTTCTAGAATAGAAGAGAAAAAAAAATCAACATACTTCCAATTACAAACACATACACATCCCCCACCAAAAGTTAGCCTAAGTTTGAAGGGTCAACTCATGTGTTTATGCTTTTATTTTTTCACCTCAAGCTCCTTGCCCCTTCTTTCCTCTTTTCCCTCTTTCTTTTCTTTTTGGAGAAGGGGAATGGGAACAGATAACACATAAAATTTTAACTCTGATTTCTTATTTTACAAGCTACTCTCATATTTTCCTAGTTGTAAGTTATTAGTATTACATATGTACTTACCATAAGTGCTATGAATATTTGCTACTAAAAAGTAGGCCTTGTTAGTATAAAAAAAGTGAGAAAACATCTTTAAAGTTGCCTTCTCTGTAAAAGTAGTAAATCTTGGAGATTATTGTTCCCTCATGAAATTTTCACTAGAACTTACCTCAATTTTTTTTTCTTTCCAAAGAACTTAATAAAAGCCCTTTTATTATTTGTAGCCCTTCTATCATAATTATCATATCTTTATTAGCTTGAACCACATGAATTGCTGTTTTGTGAGTCAAATATGGTCAAATATTGACAATTCTATATAATTCACCCAAACCAAAGGAGGATCATTTGTGACCTAATTTCACTTTTTATGTACAATCACTCTTTATGGAGGTAAAATAAGTCACTTGTAGATGACTTGGAAATAAGATTACACTGAGACAAATTGTTAATTTTGTATTGAAATGTATTTATTTTTACCTGTAAGACTTCTTCTGCAGACGAATAGGTTTGCCAAAATTTGTTAAACAATGAAGGTTTGTGGGAAAAGGAACTTTCAAACTGTAACAGAGAAAAAGAAAAAAAATTACAAATAGAAGTCTGTTCAAAGTCAGAAATATTTTCTTTTCGACTTCAAAGAAAACAAATTTAAACAGGAACTTTTACCTTATCTCTTGCCCATTGTATGGTATGTTCGATAGCAGCTGGAAAGGATTTCAGAGTACAAAACGGTATTTCCTCTTCTGGGGGATCCCGCTAATTTATAAAATATGACACAGATACTTAAAGAGAAGCAATGACCAACTTTTATTGATTGTATTTACTTTTGAGCTTTAAGGCTATTAAAAATCCAAAAATAAATAAAATCCAACCAGACATTTTTATATCTTCTCTCTTCTTAGGCAGCAAGAGAAGTTAATTCTTTTGACATTTAACCTATTTGTTAATAGTTATGTAACGCCAATCATCAATATTATTATTTGTGTACTCATTTGGTGCACCATGTAGTACTCATGACACACCATCAAAATTAAATCCTTTTTTTCTTCATGAATCAAGGTGACATTTAAAGTTTTATAACACTCCCTGTTTTGAAAAGTAATTCAAGAATCCCCCGTGTAGTGCTCAGAATAGCCTGAGTTTTTCCATGGAGAAAAACATTGGGGCGTAGAAATGTGCCCTCAGTGCTTGATACAGGTTTCCTGCAGAAAACATGTATTAAATAAATGGCAAATACCTAAGTTGTTTTTTGTGGATAAAGTACCACTGAAGAAATCCGCATTCTATGATAGGGTACATTTTGCCTAGGTTTATTGGTTTACCTAATCTAAAATGACTCACTTTGTCTCAGCATGTAAATAAAATTTTATGTCTTTGTTGACAGTTCTACTCTCAGTTTAATAGTCTGTTCTTATCAAACAATCTTACACTCAAAGGATATCAGAAAACTAATTAAGCAGCTCTAAGAAATAAACAGAAAAATAATGCTCTAGAAACATCAGACACAAAATTCTGATGATTAAAGTTCAATTATATTTTTTAAAAGGTACATGCACATTTGTATGAACATCACTGGCAGAGCAAAATCAGAAAGAAGAATTAGGAAAGCTAAATCAAATTGTTGGCTGATGAAGACAAAAACTGTAAGATATAAAAAAGACAGAAATTTACTTCAAAATATTGATTCACTTACATGACTATTGTAAGATTCAGTCAAATGTGGTACAATAACTTCAGTGTGTCCCTTAGTGCCCATTGTTCCAGAATCCAACAGAGGCCTTAGATTTGCTAAGCAACGACTATTTGAAAAGATAACAAGTAAAAAACAAAAAAGTGAGCAATAACAGTGTAACCAAAGGACATCCTACTACTTTCTATTGACCATTTCACTTACTTCTTGATCACTTCTTGAATGCAGTATTTTAGGAAAACAGATATATTACTATCAAACAACCAGTGGATCATTTCTGTCCCCCTATTCTTCACTATACATACAAATTTTGTTGTTCAATCTAATAATTTCCATCTCTCTCTCCTTCTACTAGTATCCTAAATCTGGGGCTTTGTTAACCTTTATCTCTAGGTTTAACTCCTAACAGTATTATTTCTTTTTCCTTGTTTTATATTTTTCTTTGGTTATTTTCTGACTACAAGTTCTACCACAGTATCTCTTCTCAATATTTTCTTTAACCAAATAATATTAATCTTCTTTCTCAATAGTTACAATACCTATATTCTACAAATTTTAATTTCTTAAAGTTTTGTTTTCTTCCCCTCTTTGGCCCAAGATTACAAACTTTTCACATTTTTCAACTGATAAATTTTCCTCTGCTAATATGTCTGCTCTATACCTTAACATTAAGAAGTCATACAAAGATATAAGAAAGATGATGTAGGGTGTGAACACATTTATAGTCATTCATTTATCTACTTACTTAAGGAATATTTACTAAGTGACATCACATGTTGGGCACTGAGGATACAATGATGGAAAGTAAATAGTCCCTGGATTAATGATTTAGTGAGGACAGAAATATTAAACAAATATGCATGTCAATAAAAATAAGTGCCATGAAAGAAAAAGTACAGAGTGCTATGAAAAAATCACCATAGGAGGCTCTAATTTAGAATTTTGGGGAAAAGATAGTCTGTTTAGATAAAGAAATTTAGGCTGAAACAGAAAGGATGAAGAAAAACGGCTAAACTAGGTGAAGAGTAGATAGGAAGATTAGAGATCAGGAATGTTAAAGTAAGAAAAACAGAATTTCCTGAGGCTGAAGAATATTGTGTGTAAGTCCCTCGTGTAAAAAACTGCTGAAGGCCTTGTAAGAACAGAGTGAGACACAGAGAGAAGAAGGGGACCCAAGAGGGGCAGGTCAGAGCTGCTGCGGTAATCAGCATGAGCTTGCCTGGTAGAAGATTATGAGAAAACAGAAGAACACAAAAACAGTTAAGGGAAAGTGTCAAGATGACAAACTTTCTGCTGCTGCCCTCAAGCAGAGGGACTTGGAGACCACACAACTGAAGCCAGAAAGGGAAAATGAGGAGGAGGAGGAGGAGGAAGAACCCAAGTAACTTTGGGGTTTAGTGCCCACCCCGCTGCCCTTTGCCTGTGTGCCTGAAGACAGTCCCACCATGCTCATGTTTTCCTCCACTAGTGCTCACAGGTCCCAGCACTGATGGCATTTGGCCTGAATGCAGTGGGTCCATTTTGCGCTTCCTTCTCAGGTAACCTCTCTCTCCTGGGCCACTTCTAGAGGTGAAGGAGTTACTCCTTCTGTGTTTTCTATAGCAGTAAGGCTCACCCCAAAGTATTAAAAGTGGCTTTATGAGTCAGAAAAAAAAGACAAAAAAACTGAAAGGCACATGCGGCTAGATTAAGGGGAGCCAAGGGGGACTGGTAAATGTTATACCACATGGTCAACAGGTGACAGGTACTCCATGAAAAACATTTAGGTTATGTTACAATTTTGAATTTCATTCTAAGTATAATGGGAAATCGTAAAAGCGTTTCTGTCTGAGGAGTACTACAACAGGACCATAAAGAATAATCAGAAAATTCCCTAACTTTTCAATAAGTAATGTGGGAAATACAAGTGAAAATTAAAGATAATTCTGTAGGAGCCTGAATTTCAAGAACGTACCTGTCTACATATCTCCTGGCTTCCACATTATCTAATGCTGTAACAATTATATCTTGTTTAGTATAGAACTCATCATTGTAAATGGTCTCAGTAGCTGGACATACTTTGTTCAGGTGTGCATCTATCTTTATTTGAGGATTTATTTTCAGAGTAGCATCAGCAGCAGTATAGCTTTTAGGTTTCTAAACAAATAATAAAAGCAGAAGGAATATGTTAAACAACAACAACAAAAAAGGACTAAGATTTTTCTATATATACCAGGGTGATAAGAATGTGTAAGTTCAATCGCAGTCTATATATAAGGTAAGAGTAATGAGACCAGTTTTCATTTTTGGTTTGTAAAAATTACGTTAATTGAAATAACACTACATTAATAATGCACATTAGCCCAAATAATTCACAAATTATTAAGAATCTAAACAACTTGTATCTCATAGTTAAGTGCTTTAGAGTTCTTAAAAGAAATTAAAAGTCCTATTACGAGTACAATTTTTCCCTGTTTGACTTGGTAAGTGCAAAGAAAAAAATGAGAACACATTCAGTAAAATATTGGAAATCAGCTCTGCAGAAGATAAGTTCTTAGAGGTATGAGAGTTTAATACTTTGGTACTAACATATTTTGAAATTATTATTTCTGGATGGAAATATTTTCAGAAATTATGTATCAGTTTTATAAAAAAGAGTACAGTAGTTTCCCTTTATCTGCATTTCACAACCCTCAAGAATGGCTGAAACTACAGCCAGTACAAAATCATATACATATACACCTATGATAAATTTTAATTTCTAAATTAGGCATAGTAAGAGATTAATAACAATAAAGCAGAACAATCATAACAATATACATTAATAAAAGTCAGTGAATTTGGTCTCCCCCTCTCAAAATATAGTATCTTATTGTACCACCCTGTACTTACCTATTTTCAGATCCTGATTGACCATGGCTAACTGAAACTATGGCCAGCAAAACTGGATACCACTGATAAAGGGTACTACTGTACTCTAAATATAATTTATTCTTTCTTTTCTTAAAAAGATTTAGTGACTATTTTAAATCATGGGTATCATTTCAGGCACTGTCACTGTTCATTTGCATTTGTTTGGCACTAAATATCTTTAGGCCATTTTGTTTAAGTTCACGCATCTAGTTTTAACGATATTTCTGTCTCTTCTCACATTGGTAGGCTGACTTGTTTCACTTGTTAGTGTTCTAAGTGTACAAACAAATCAAAACTTTGTTAGAACTCAGTAACATAAGAACAAACAGGCCTTTACAGTGCTTCTCTAAGTAAAATGCACCAAGTTAAGCAAATACACTTTGCAAACCCTATTACTTTGTCTATTATATTTGGATAAGTGAGGCAATTAGATTAACTATGACATCTGCTTCAGTTACTTTTTGTTCATGACATTACTAAGTTTAGTTTACTAAGACTGGCAATGAGTTGTGGAACAATAAAGGAAAAAGTTTTTTACAAGCATTTCTTTAGGGTAGAAATGGTTTTTCCCTAGGTTGCCAAGGCTCAAGCAATCCTCCTGTGTTGTCCTCCCAAAATGGTGGGATTACAGGTGTGAGCTATTGTGCCTGGCTGAAACATTTCTACAGTAAAAGCAAATTTTCTTTACTAAAAATGCATTTTTTTCTGAATTAAATATTTTGGTCTCTATAAAAAAGGAGACTGAGAACAAGCATTATTTTATGATAAAAAGGAATGTTAAATAGTCAAACTATCAAAAGAGCACAAAGATTCTAAGTGCTAAACTTTTACCTGATTTATGACAAGGATATAAAAAAGTGCCAAATTTAAAAACTATCAAAAGCTCAAATTAGAAACATATTTCCATATACTTACTTAAACATACCTTGGTGATTACAAAATGAAAAAAATACTGCCCATTTCACAACTCAGATTTTAATATACAAAATCAATGCAAAAATCAGTATTGTGCATTAAACAATTTCATATTTTCCCCTTTTGTCATTACCATTGATAATTTGAAAGATTCTAATAAAATAACACATTAGAATTGTTCATTCACTATTTTCTATTTATTAAAAGGAAACTTCTTTTTCATATAATAGATGATTTAAATTTGAAACAATAGCAACATACCTGTATGTGATGAGGACGAAATAGGAACTGTCTATTTAAGTTGGACTTTTCTATCAAGTCAGGATCTGTAACTGTAACCTAATATCAAGAAAATATGTCTGAAATTATATAATGGATAAATTTTAATCTATTTTTCTTTCTTAGTATGACTAAAAAACTCCTCACAAACTATTCTAAATTAGTCTGGTTGGTAAAGGTTAAAATGATATAAACATTCCCAAATACTACCAATACTACTCTTTTATATTTCATTTAATTGTGATTAATGTTTTACATAGGAGCACATCAAACAAAATAGCCGAAGCCAATTGCAATTCTGTTCAAAACTTTTTTCTAATTATTCATAACAAAACAAAACAAAACTTTTTAGAACTGTGAAATGGATTAGCTGCAGAAGAGCTAGCTCTTCTTTCTAAACATATAATATTTACCCTTAATCTCAACTAATTTGGAAAGAATACTTATATGTATCAATTTGAAAGGGACTCTGGCAAAGCAGAGGCCTACAAACTACTAGGCAGCCTGCCTATTTTTGTAAATAAAGTTTTACTGAAACACTGTCATACCATTTAAGAATTGTCTATTGCTGTTTTCATGATCCTAGGGGCAGAACTGAGTAGGTGTGACAGAGATCATTGGTCTGCAAACCTGAAATCTTTGCTATCTTGTCCTTTAAGAAAAAGTCTGCAGACTCGATCTAAAGGATGCAAGAAAGTAAACAAACTCAAGATAATCTGAAGAGTATTCAAAATACATTTGTGACTTTGGCATTTTTAAACAATAATTGTGTAGGTGCAGAATGTCTCAGACTGTATTCCACATTTATTTTATTGAATAGTTCCCTGATATTTTTAATATTTCTGTGTAATTATGTTAGAGTGTCTCTTTTTAATAGAAAAAAGGTCAATCAGAAAATATCTTTTAACAAAAACGCTTAATCAATTCATTGTTGACTGACAATAAGGCTTTTTCCTTCCACCTCTGCTTTTCATTTCCCTTTATTTTGGCTTTCTACTGGACTGACCAAGTTTTCTTGATTTCTACTGCCCCCAACTCCCCAAACTGGTTTAGAATCTAAGTGCCTAATGTTATGTGGTTATGCTCAGAATTTTAACATGCTCGTGTAACTTAAGATCTAAAACTAATTAAAACTTCTATCTTCCTCCTGAACACTGAGAATATCTAAACCATTTAGTTTGGACCTCTCCAGTTTGCCTTCTGTGAGATCAAGTTACACTTAAACTTTTAACTCTCTCACTCTAAGGTTTTTAAAAATCAATGCTTATGTAAATCAATGAATTCTGACAAATGCTTCTGCATACCCTTTATACACTGCCCACACAACCTAACATCTTTCAATAAGAACCAATAAGTAGTAATCTTTCACCATTTCATCTGTCGGCTATCTTTTCTTTGCTCTCCCTCTTAAACTGAGTATGAAAATCTAGGTTAATAGTAATTTTCCCTTACACTATGAAGATACTCTTTCATTATCTTCTATTTATTGCTGATGAAAAGTCTATGCAATCTCTTTTTTTAATCTTTGCTTTCGATTTGTTTGGGACTAGTTTATCTTCCAATTTGAAAACACTTGTCTTTCTTCAACTCTGGGAACTTTTGTCATTATTTTTGGAATATATTGCTTCTTCTCCCTTATCTTTATCTCTGGAAATTCTACTAGACCTATGTTGGACCTTGCAAACCCACTATTTTTCATTTTAAAAAGATATCTTTCTGCACTACATTCTGGGTATTTATATTCACCTTTGATTTGTCTATTTTCACCTCAGTTATATTTGAATCTTAATATTAGTGATTATACAGAAATTCTTACTTGGCTTGCTATAAAACTTTCAGTGTCTTTTTTCCTGTTTCTAGTCCTCTTTATCTCTAATCATTTTTAACTTTAAAGTTTGTTCTATTTTCTATCAAGTTTTCTATTATTGGTAGCACTTCTATTATCTATAATTCTTAGGAGACTAATTCTTTTATTTGCCATGGCTGATTCTTGAAGTGGTTCTCTTTCTAGGGAACAGTAATTTTTTAATTTGAATTGTGTTTAATGAAGGCTGATTTTTCTGCATAATCCTGAGTGTGCTATTATCATCATGATACAGTTTTACATTTGCTTTAAAGCTCTGGAAGTTTTAGTACATCTAAATTTGTTATATTACTTTCTCTGCTTAAAGTTTTTACATGATGTAATTTTGGACCCCGGTTGTGGCACATGCTGTGAGTTTCAATTTCTCATTTGTGACTTCAGTTTTTACTTAAGGTTTTGGACAGACATTCAAGACAGAAACACTTGTAAATGGTTTTCAACTCAGGATTTGTTCTTCTCTCTTGGTTCCTAGCATCTGGGAATTTCTCTTTTCAGCTTGGCTACATATGTAAACACTTAAAAAAAAGTATAAACTCTTTCACTGCAAATATAATTTAAAATGAAAGATTAAATATAGAATTTCCTTTTATCAACCTCTTTTAACCTGCCTAAATGATTTCAAACAGGAACAGATATTCTATGATATATATTCTGTTTGAAGGACATTTCCAAGGCCCTTTGAAAGATGATTAACCCTAAAGAAACTGCCTACATTTACTAAGCTTTTTAAAAACACTATTGCCCATGCTGCATAACGGGCCCTCTAAGACAAAGATCTGGTTGGTGAATAAGAGTGAAAAAAAAAAGGTATTTATCTAAGGACTAAAAAAAATGTACACAGTAAGTCTATGTGTTTGCAGTAGTACAGAAGCCTGTCCACATTAGTTTACCTTGTTTTGTTATCTGAAGTCAGTAGGTTTCTTCACTACAGTTCCTTTCCTGACCTTTATATGCTAATGTGCATCATGAATTTCCAAGGAGTTAAAGTATTCAGGTGATTCCTAAACTGATGTAACCAAAGACTTTTTTCTTTTTATATCCCTTTCAAAATCACCAGAAGTAATAGTGGTTTGTGGAGCAGTATTTAGGACATGTTAATATAAACATGGAACATCTGCCTGTAACTATGATATACTGAATACTCTTTTGAATTGGAATAAAAAGCCCATTTTAATAAACTATAAAAGGTGAACTATCATATAAATATTAGCCATTTAATTAGTCTTCTGTTAGTCACCATGATAAATCTAGGAACTCACTAATAGAAGCTAAAAGGCAAAACAAGCACCAGTGAAATAAATTTCTATTTAAATATATGACATGGCTTGCAATTAACTCACATTTAGAGTCTTAAGAATTTAAATTTTACACTGAGATTTGTATTTTCCCACTACTTTTAATATTCACTAATTGAAACTACAACTGAGTACTCTACAATTCTGTGATGTTAGCTTCAGTTTCTTAAAGATTTAACAATTAATAAACGCTATCTAAAAGAAGTAACAACAACATGTTTTATACTTTGCAAAGCCTTTTCACATTTGATCTTCACAATAGTTATGAGGTAAGTAGCACAAATGTCAGTTTCACAGTGGTAGAGAAAAAAACTGAGGAAAGAATTAATTTGCTACAAAAGAAAGAGAAGTAATTTGCTATAAGGTAACTTAAGTTTTGAAAAGTGGTCAGAAGGGCATGAGAATCAATTTTTAGTTCAATGCTCTATTTTCAAAAATTGATACTTCAGATTTATGTAGTCAAATATAGATGAAAAAAGGGCAACAACACAAATATAAACTTTTAACTCTCAAGGACTGATTCTTACCATTCCTTTCTCTTTGCTTGTTCCAACACCAAGTAAAGCAAAATTTTTTAACATTTCACAGCCTATTGCTCCACACCCTACCTATGGAAGAGAAAAACAGTATATATCAGGTTAAAATAACTTGATCATTTGTGACTCATTTTACTTTGAAATATTTAACAGGTTTATTTTACCACTGGGTTTCAAAGAAAAAAAAAGTATAAACCAAATAAGGAAAAGCATAATTTTATAATTCCTTTAAACAGAAGACATTAAAAAATTCCAAATATATGTCAAACATTGAGCCACTTATGCAAGATTGAAGTAAACACAATATAATGTTAGTACATTTTAATAAAAATGATTCCTCCCTTTTGGTTATTTCTCAAAACTCATTTGCTGCATAAAACTATTCTAAGACTTCTATTATCTAAAATTAATAACACTATATTCCATATGCATGTAAAAAGCTCAGTAATAGCTCATTTCCAAAACATTATTTTAAAGATAATTACTAAGAATCAGCAGTAATTTTCAGGGCTAATTATAATAACAAAAAATGGCAGGAAGAGGAGTTTCATTTTATTGGGGAAAATTTCCCTGACACTGCGCTAAGACAATTAAGAAACACAGATAGGCTGGGTATGGTGGCTCACGCCTGTAATCCCAACATTTTGGGAGTCTGAGGTGGGCAGATCACAAGGTCAGGAGTTCAAGACCAGCCTGGCCAATATGGTGAAACCCCATCTTGGTTGAAAGTACAAAAATTAGTCATGTGTGGTGAGGGGGAAAACAAGTGCTTGAACCCAGACATGGAGGTTGCAGTGAGTGGAGGTCATGCTACTGCACTCCAGCCTGGGCAAGAGGGAGAGACTCCATCTCAAAAAAAAAAATAAAATAAAAAATTAAAAAAAAAAAATACAGAATACACTTATATATTCCTTCATTTAGTGAGAAAAAAATTTTAAAAACCCACCAACTTTCAAACATATTGCTAGAATATAATTTAATGTTCAAAATTATTATACTCTTTTACTTTAAATGTATTAGTTAGACCAGAGGATTGAAAACCTTTTCTGTAGAGGACCAGACAGCAAATAATTTCAGCTCTACAGGCCGTATGGTCTCAGAAAGTACTTACTCTGTATTTATTTTTTAGGTTGGTTACACTGTATATCATCTATAATTACATATAGTATAGGAAAATAATCTAGGATGCCAAAATTTTAGCATTTTTAAATTCACTTGTACTTTACACACTTAGACTCAAATTAATTTTAATAAACTTGATGATATATGATAGCAGTTTGAACATACTACTTATTCCCATGATTATTCATACTTACTAAGAAGATATTTAAATTTTGCAGTTTCTGACACAAAGTGTCTCCAATGCAGGCTCTTAAGGCATCATATCTATCTCCTCTGGAAAAAATAACATATACCAAACAAAACAGAAAAAAATAAAAAACATTAAAATTAGTTTCATTGTCATTAATACCAATTTAACATTCTACTTTAAAATGGAATATTCTTTAAAAGTTTCCCCTAATCAATCTGATGAACTATCTTAATTGAAAAAGAAAAGCCCCCATAAAGAAATCCAGTTTTCCTTTTTCCACTTAATAGTCTAAATACAAATAAGTGAAGGTGACTTTGGTTTGTCTAGAAAAAAAATTTTCCTAAGCCAGAGATTTTTAAGCAAAGTTCTTAGAGAAATCTATGGATGGACTTTGGAGCTGATAACCCACTTAAAATCAAAGGCAGAAATTTGGGTTATGTTTATTTTAAGGAGAAATTATTCTAAACTTTTGTCAAAAAGACTTATGACCCAAAAAAGTAAAAAATGACTTATATAAATAAAGACTGCATGTAGCAGTTTTTTTCCATCTAACATCATTAAGGTCTTTTAAATGCTAACTATTCTCATGGCATACAATTTAAAACTTTGTATTTACTATCAGGTATTAAGGAGATATGACATTATTAAGACACTTAAAATGACTCCTAAATAGAGAAAAAACAGCTACATAAGTGATTTAGGAGAAAAGACATATAAAACAAAGGTATGTTTAGAGAAAACCTTAAAAAAAAAAATCTATTTGCCTCTTAGAAAAAGCAAGAGAAATGTCATTATTACCGTGGAAGAAATTCTTCACATTCAGGTTTGCCTAGTGATTGGACAATATCGGCTGCTTCAAGATATAACTTAAAGAAGAAGATTAAAAACATAATTATTATATATAAAACTTAAATTACTATAAAAAGAAGTTCCTTTATAGTTATTTAATAATCATTAAGAAAAAAATGATTAAAATCTGGCAATTCAGAGTAAAATATTTAAAAATATAATTAAAAATATATAATATACATTACTATATTCTCTCATTAAAATAATTGTAAAACCTGAGGTGACCATTAAAAGATATAATTTGATTCATGTCACTGAACATGATGTATTCTAACTTTAAACCAAAGGAAATTTCACCTCCAAATCTATTTTTCATAACTACACAAAAGCTTTGGAAGCCCCCATTCAATTTCAGCTATATTTGTATAAGAAATTTATTACTTTTTGAGAAGAAAGTACTTATTCTGTATTTATTTTTTAGCTTGGATACACTGTATGTCATCTATAATTATACACAGTATAGAAAAATAATCTAGGAAATCAAAATTTGAGCATTTTTAAAAATACCAAAGATAATTAGTTTAAGTTAATGAAGAACAGAATTGAATCTTACTCTCATTTTCATTTAATGAACTTGTGTGGCTAAATTTGAACACAATAAAATGGTTATTTTATTATAACATAGAATCTATATTAAGAATTAATTTTTATTATTTCTCATGATATTAATGCAGTTATCTTTTTTTTTTTTGAGACAGAGTCTCGTTCAGTCGTCTGGACTGGAGTCTCACTCTGTCGCCCGGACTGGAGTCTCACTCTGTCGCCCAGACTGGAGTGCAGTAGTATGATCTCTGCTCACTGCAACCTCTGCCTCCTGCGTTTAAGGGATTATCCTGCCTCAGCATCCCAAGTAGCTGGGATTAAAGGTGTGTGCCACCACACCCGGCTAATTCTTCGTATTTTTAGTAGAAACGGAGTTTCACTGTATTAGCCAGGATGGTCTCAATCTCCTGACCTCATGATCCACCAGCTTCAGCCTCCCAAAGTGCTGGGATTACAAGCCTGAGCCACTGTGCTCTGCCTAACAGTTATCTTTAAAGCAGACTTTCAGTAATGTACTTGTATTCTGTGTTAACATAAAGAATTCAGCAGCAAAATACCATTATGTGAGTACCTTTCAAAATATATAAAAAAGATAAATGTTGTATTTAAAATGTTTACGGTATTTCAACAGAGAAAGGGCCTGGAGGCAGTATGTTTTCATACCTTGTGCCAATTATTTCTTCAGGTAAATAAATGTGGGTTTTTATTTCATCTTGTGATTTTCATACCCCATGCAACTCTAAAACCTGTACCATTCCCATGTTCTCCACTTTTCTAAGTTTATACCTAGAAAGGGAACCTGAAGATTCATGATAGTAAAACATTCCATGGAACACATTCAAGAGTATTGAGAGCCTGAGAATGCTAAGCTTACGGTACTAGAGAATAATTACTGATAAGGATAGAACATTCATTCCTTTACTATCACAACTACGGGAAATACATCTGAGAAGGCAACTTCAGGTTTATCTCAATAGCCCTAAAATATCATCTTGTTAATTTCAATCACAGAATCAAGTGTTGGAGGCACACTGCTTGCATCTTTTTCATGCATCAAAAAGTATTTTAGGGTTGCTTTTCTAATATATTAATACTACATTGTAATACATAACACATTCATTTCATGAGTAAAGAAATCAACCTTAAAAACAGAACTAACCCACTGGCACAAAGGAGAAAATTTTCCTGTCACAGCTTTCAATACTTCTTGGCTGGCAACACCTCCTACTGCTGCAGCAAGTGGGGATAAAAAGCCTTGAGCAGTCCAAGAGAGCCAGTGCACAATGTCAGCATTTACATCAGGCTAAAACAAAAGCCATAAAAGACAATAATATTAACAGCATTTACATAGCACACTTAAAATTTTAATGACTAAATGTTAGAATTAGAACTTCTAAAAAAGCTATTCAATTCCCCTACTAAATAGCTTTAAAAATGTCACAATTTCATGAAAACAGACCCGTTTGCATGTTACCTTAAGTAGCGCCTTCCTTTACTACTGCCTGCCCATTTTTGTTTTTGGGCTCTATACATCACTCTAGGGCATCATTTACAATTAACTCAAATATCTACCATTTATAGTTTTTGTCAAAGAACAGTTCTGTGATGCCAGTTAGGCATATTTACAAATAAACAGATTTTTTAAAAAAAGTTTGTTAATAAAAACTACTCTGAGAAAATCTTGAACTAAGATAAATGAAAATAAAATGATCTTAAAAATGATAAGCTATCAGTTTCTGTTGGAAGTTGTAAATAAAAACTGCAATGAATAATGACACAATACATTGTTAGAGCTAATGTTTTCAATTATACTAAAAGTTATGTTTCTTAAAATAGAATATTTTAAAGGAAATATTGGAAAACTGAATTTTAGATCTATTGTTTTAGCATAATTTCTCATACATGACAAAGATCTTTTCATGAGCTCTGTTTTCTCTCTCTTCCTATTCTTTAAACATCAGTAATCTTAATTTTAACCCTAAACTTCAAGTTGGCCTAATTAATATTCTGAACTCTTATGTAAAAGAACAGTTCTTATACGTGTAGGAGGGGAAAGAGAAGAGTTTTTATTACACTTTCAAAAATATTTGTGATATAAAATGGTTACTATCTACTCACTCATCCACCCCTCCATTTCAATTTCCTATATCTCATTATTTACAACTATTGAGCACTAACCTCAACCAAAATCAATTACAATTTAAATTCTGCAGTTTTTGAATGTGAACATTGTTGGTGGTAATAACATTAAAATAATGATAGGAGTGATAATAACAGTGTAAATGAGTGCTTACCATACCAGATTGTGTATTAAATCCTTACATAATCTTCAAAGTAATCCTTATAAATATAATTTTTATTATACAAGAAAACGGAAACACTGAAAAATTAAGTAACTTATTCAAGATTTTATAGTTAGTAAATGGTGAAGCCAGGATTTGGATCCAAAAAGTTCAACTTTATAGGTTTATTCTCACCATTAGGTTATGCAACCTCCTAGGATTCTTTATTTTTTTAGTAAACAAATATCTAAATTTTGGGAATTTTTGGTTATCCTAGGCTAACAGCAGCCTATATCTAAATTTCCCCACATAATCTCCAAAACACATGCATAACCACAAGAAGAGAAATAAGACACTAACAGGGCTTCAGTATTACTAGAAAACAGAATATTATAAATTTCAAATTACTTGTAAGTAGAAAGACAGATTGCAAACTCCAACAGAGCTATCTCTGGATTTCACAATGCTACAATCTTGGACAGAGAGCAGAAAATATGAAGAGATCACAGAAGAGAGTGAAAGGTCTAATGGTAACAAAGCACAGTCCTAAGAAAAAGAAAGTCCCACACTAAGTACAGAAAATACTGACGAGTTATAAAACTGGCGTCTCAGCCTTCAAAGAATGTCATCCTGGGAGAGCAAGATGTAAACAAAAGAGGAGAGACATCCTTTGAGAGAGAATGCTAAAGACAGAGATGGTAAGGATTTGGTAAAAATCGAAGAGACCTACAAAACACACTCAAATCTCTCCACCACAAAATAGTCATCCATTAAAAGCTTCTTTTCAGTATCCTAAGAGAAGGAAGTGCTACAAAACCAGGAATCTAAAAAGCACCTAAAACCCTTACCCTGTCCAAAAAGAAAGCACAAAAATCACTCTACTATACAAAGCTAATGTAAGAAGAAAACAGAAAACTAGAATCAAAACATTTCAGCTACTGAAAATCTACACCCCCACAACTAACTAAAGGTCAAAGGTAATTTAAGTGAATAAATTATACATTCTTAACAAGCACTTGGCAATGTTGGGGGGGGAAAACCAAACCTTGAATCAGGACTAAGAACAGAAATGATCTATTCTACCCTTCCAGAAAAGGAAAGTAATAATTAAATAAAACAACATCTGAATCTACATATCAAAATGAGCTCGTGGTGTATGTGGGAAACTTTAATAAATAATCAACTCTGAGATAAAACTATTAGATAAAGATGAAGATGAAACACATAGGGTCTTAAAGCAAGAAGACCAGATTACTTGTAAGAGTACAAAAGTTAGGCTGGCATCTTATTTTTCAACAACAAAATCTAAAGCAAGATATTAGTGAATAAAGTAGGAGCCCAGAATTTTAGGCTTAGCCAAGCTAGCTTTCAGGTTTGAAGGCTACATTTTTCATACAGAAAAAATATGAAACATATAAAAACTCAGGGAATACCACAATTTGGAGCTCTTTTTGAGAAACAGACTAAACCTGATTTTCAAGACTTAATATAAAAGCCACAAAAAAATAAATAAAGACAGGATGGAGCTGGCAAAAGGACAGAAACACTGTGAAGAAAACAAAGTACAGAAATAGACCTATACATGTATGGTCAAAAAATTGTTGACAAAGATGCCATAAAATTTCAATAAAGAATAGCCTTTTCAACTAATGGGCTAGAATAACTGGACATTCATATACAAAAAAATTAACTTTGATCTATACTTTGTGCAGTGAAGTGTGGAAGTGACTTTGGAACGGGAACAAAGAGGCTGAAATAGTTTGGAGGGCTCATAAGAAGAGATAAAGATGTGGGAAAATTTGGAACTTAACAGTTTTGACCAAAATGCTGATAGTGATATGGATGATGAAGTCTAAGCTGAGGTGGTCTCAGACGGAGATGAGGAACCTGTTGGGAACTAGTATCTAAAGGTGATTCTTGTTATACTTTAGCAAAGAGACTGGCAGCATTTTGCTTCTGCCATAGAAATCTGTGGAACTTCAGAGAGATGATTTACTGTATCTGGCAGAAGAAATGTCTATGTGGCAAAGTGTTCAAGAGGTGACTTGCTTGCTTTTAAAGCATTCAGTTTTATTCATTTGCAAAAAGATGGGTTGGAATTGGAACTTATGTTTAAAAGAGAAGCAGAGCATAAAAGTTTGGAAAATTTAGAGCCTGATGATACAACAGAAAAGGAAAACCGTTTTCTGAGGAGAAATTCAAGTCAGCTGCAGCCAAATGTTAATCACCAAGACAAGGGAAAATGCCTCCAGGGCATGTCAGAGGTCTTCAAGGCAGCTGTGCGCATCACAGGACTGGAGAACTAAGAGGAAAAAGTGGTTTTGTGGACTGGGCCCAGGGCCTTGCTGCTTTGTGCAGTCTCCGGACTTGGTGCCTCGTGTCCCAGCTGTGACTAAAAGGAGCCAATGTACAGCTCAGGCTGTTGCTTCAGAAGATACAAGCCCCAATCCTCAGTGGCTTACACATGGTGTTGGGCCTGTGGATGCACAGAAGTCGAGAATCAAAGTTTGGGACCCTCCGCCTAGATTTCAGAGGATATATGAAAACACCTTGATATCCAGGTATAAGTTTGCTGCAAGGGTAGAACTGTCATGGAGAACCTCTTGCTAGGATAGTGCAGAAGGAAAATGTGATGTTGGAGCCCCCACAGAGAGACCCCATTGGCACTGCCTAGTGGAGCTGTGTAAAGGGTGCCATAGTCCTCCTGACCCCAGAATGGAAGATCCAACGAAAGCCTGGAACATTAATCTGGAAAAGCTGCAACACTCAATGCCAACCCATGAACACAGCCAGGAGACAAGCCATACCCTGCATAGCCACAGAGGTGAAGCTGCCCAAGACCATGTGAACCCACCTCTTGCTTCAGCGTGACCTGGATGTGAGACATGGTGTCAAAGGAGTTCATTGTGGAACGTTAAGTTTTAATGACTGCCCTATTGGATTTCACACGTGCATGGGGCCTGTAGCCCCTTTATTTTGGCCAATTTTCCCCAATTGGAATGGGAGCATTTATCTAATGCTTGTACCCTCACTGTATCTAGGAAGTAACTAACTTGCTTCTGATTTTGCTGGTTCCTAGCTGAAAGGGACTTGCCTTGCCTCAGATAAGACTTTGGACGTGGACTTCTGGGTTAATCCTGGAATGAGCATAGATTTGGGGGACTATTGGAAAGGTGTGATTGTGTTCTGAAATGTGAGGACATGAGATTTGGGAGGGACTGGAGTGAAATTATACATTTTGGCTGTGTCCCCACCCAAAATCTCATCTTGAAATGTAATCTCATAATCCCCCCATGTCAACGGCAGGGCCACATGAAGGTAACCAGTGAATGATAGTGAGTGAGTCTCAAGAGATCTATGTTTTTGTAAGGACCTAGCAGTTCCCTTGCTTGCACTCACTCGGTCCTGCCACCCTGTGAAGAAGGTATCTGCTTCTACTTTTTCTCCTGCCATGATTGTAAGTCTCCTGAGGCCTCCCCAACAATGCGGAACTGTAAGTCAATTAAACCTCTTCCCTCTATAAATTACCCAGTCTCAGTATTTCTTCATAGCAGTGTGAGTATGAACTAATACATGTCCCTACCATTTTTATAAAATAAAAACAAAAATAATAGACTCTTCAAATAATTGCACAAAGATCACTATGTTTATAGGTGCTTAAATGAAACTTGACTAGCAGGCACTGGCATCATAACACAAAAAAGCATTTTCTAGATGACATGTTTAAATCTAAATCTGATATGCAAAATGTGTTAAAGAAATGTGAACATATAGTGCATAAAACAAGTGACTTGTGAGAAAGCTAACATATAAGTTTTAGTGTGTTAACAAATCAAGTAAACCAGAACAGAATAATAATAATAATACTAACAATAAACAGCAGCAGCAGTGAATAGTAATTACTATATGTCACATGGTATTTCTAAGTACTTTACAAAATTAAATCATTTAATGTTCACAATAACCCTACGAAGATAGGTTAACTATATTTTATAGATTTATAAACTAAAATAGAACAAAGTGAAAAAAGTTGTCTAATGCCACAGAGTAGCAAAGCTGGATGTGAAAGATAAAAGAATCCTAATATATAGGGAAGATATAAGGGAATACTAATGTAATACACTTATGTATTAACAAATATTCTGACAGCCATAACTTTCAATATTCACCTTCTCTTCCAAGGTTTCACTTATAGATGTTGCTAGTTTCAACAGTTCTTCTGAATCTTTTTGGCATCTATAACCCAAAACAGAAAAACCTAACTTTAATTTTCTCAACTGCCACAAACAGTAGGACACACTCAAAATTAAAATTTATAAAATATATAAAAGAGTGTGGGATTTTGCCAACAGGTAGCACAAAATGTTTTACTGATTTAAAGATGATTGGCTTATAAACACATTACTTCAAAATTATATACAGTCGTATATAAATAAGATTTAGTCTTTTTTTTTTTGAGACAGAGTCTCACTCTGTCACTCAGGCTATAGTGCAGTGGTGCAATCTTGGCTCACTGCAACCTCTGTCTCCTAGGTTCAAGTGATCAGTGTCTTAGCCTCCCAAGTAGCTGGGATTACAGGTATATGCCACCATGCCCAGTAATTTCTGTGTTTTCAGTTTGCCATGTTGGCCAGGCTGATCTCGAACTCCTGGCCCCAAGTGATCCACCCACCTCAGCCTCCCAGTCTTGGGATTACAGATGCGAACCACCACACCTAACCCCAAGATTTAATCCCAAATATAAAAAGCAAAAACCTTCTGCAACAGTACTCTCAGTACTGACTTAATAGGGTTTAAAGTTAAAAAACAAGAATTACCATGGGTTAATAATTCAGTAATTCTCAGAATTTTTTTGTTTTAAAAAGCTTTAATTTTTAAAGGGAAAAAATCACATTTAATATGATTCCACTTTTATAAACTGATTTCTCCACTCCTAGCAGGAAAAGGACCAGAAAGTCATAATAAATGTTTACACGGCTTGGCATATCTATTGGTATTGTAATTACAAAGGGCATAGTTACTTTTGAAATTATAATTTCTGAATTACTACTTTTATAAAAAGGAAAACGGATATTTTTAAACATAAAACATTACCCAACGTTTGGCTTGCGATTGTATTTCTCCTGAAACTGGTCCAAGGCAAGCATAGCTGTATGAATCTCTAAAGGTGCCTATTAAAAACATTAACAATTGACCAATATTTACTGAGTGCTTATATGTCCCAGGTACTGTGCTAAACACTTTTAAAACATTATTTAACCATCACAATAAATACAGTAGCTTAATACTACTATTAACTCTACATAACAAATAAGAAAGCTGAAGCTTAGAGAAGATAAATGACTTAAACTAAAGGCCATAAAGGTATATGATCTAATCCCCTTTCCTTATTAAAATTTATAAATTTGGAAACTGTTAGTTCTCTATCACAAATACATTTACTGCTACAAAATTACATCCACTGATTTTTTTTTTTAAAATAGAATATATATATACTCAAAGCTTTTTTTTGTAAGAAATATGGTTCAGAAAATCTCTTAATAAGATCATCTTTGTCCAAGTTATTGAAATTGTCTTCTAATTATCAAAATTGCGAAATCATTATAAAAGCGAAACTTTTTCCTATTATTTTAACATTTTTTCTATGATAAAAATTCCTATTTTTAATCCTTGGGAGTCAACTGTGGATATATGAGTATAACCTCTATTATACTCATATAATAAGGCCCACAGCAAGATATCTACATGGTTATTCCATTTTAACTTTATAATCACTCACTAATTCTCATCTCTGATTCTGCGGCTTCTCTCAAACCTGCAAAGTGTTTATTTACCTCAGGTCTGCTAAAATCCACAATAAGACACTTTGGATGTTTTATCTGCCTCTCCAGTGGTTCCTGACAGGGGAAAAAAAAAATCATTACTTCAGAGTAAATAAGTGACTTTTTGACAAAATATGCTGTTATATGTCAGTGCACTAAAAGCTAAGGTACTCGCCCAGAGGTCTGAGCTGATATGTTTAACTGAAATATAAACTAGCTACAAGTCTTATGACTATACTTTAAAATATAAAAAGTTAAACGCAACAAAACAACCAGCTCCACATAGTAAATTTGGGAACAATTAATAAAAACATTTGCATATTTTTAAAAAATTATTTTAATCTAACAGCTACCATATTTTTCTGATACCAGGTTATCAAGACTGACTAAAATCTTCTGTTCTTTGTAAAGAACACAAAGGCAAAACAAACAAAAACCTCCAAAAAACCCCAAAACACCCACCCAATCTAAAATTGAGACACATCCAATTAAAAATTGGAGACAAAGCACAAAGAGATATGCAGAAGCACATCTGACTAGATATGCTATTTTAATTTATTGTTTTATTCTAACTTTGGCTCGAACAAAACCTTATTAACAACTAGAGTTGTTAACAGTTCTGGAAAAGGAAAGGCAATTAAGTTAAAATCTTGAGAACTTGTAAGAAAATCAATGATGTGTTAGCTTATCCTGAGACAGAGCCCAAGGATTTAAGTAGCAGGTGATACCTTAGCTCCTCGACATTAGTAGTGTGTAGTTTCTCTCTGTTCAGGTATTTATATTTTCCTTTCAATGACAATAGTTTTTAGAAATTATTTTACATTCTCAACATATACACTGTTTTGAAATGTATAAAATTAAATTTAAAAAACCAAGATTAACAAGTATAATTTAAATAATTCCATTTTAGAAAATAATACAGCAAAACAACTCTTGCTAAATCTTGAAAATACATTAGTTTCATTTCTTGTTTTAGAAAGTAAATTGTAGTAAGTATGATCAACTTTGATGATTCACAAAGGTGTAGTTCCTTTCAGTACTTCAAGTCAGTACCATACCTTTTTATCTCAACTATATGTACATGGTATTCTGGCTATAAAAAGTATACACGTTTTTTGTTAATATCCATTGTATCCATTTATTTCATTAGATTAATTCCATTTCCCTCGAAGCTGGTACAAATGAAAAAAGAGGAAAAAAAAAAAACACCCAAATTCTATTCCACCTTTAAACTGTTTGGTTAACTAAATAGTTATTTTATTCCTTTGTCTCTTATGCCTTCTTTTTCTGTAAAGAAATATTTTTTAAGCAGAAAAAATACTTACAAAGGAAAATATTTTAGGAGTCTTAACTTGGACAGCTATGCCTCCATGTAAATATGGTTCCAGTTCTGTAGTGTCACCAATACTAAAAGAAAATGGCGATATCACTAGAAAAAAAATTTTTTAAATCATTACAAAGGGATAAGGGGATACATATATTTAAATATAAACTCTTATTGTCATAAAAATATTACATCTCAGCTGGGCATGGTGGCTCACACCTGTACTGTAATCCCAGCACTTTGGGAGGCCGAGGCAGGCGGATCACGAGGTCAAGATTTTGAGACCATTTGGTAGAGATGGTGAAACCCCATGTCTACCAAAAATACAAAAATTAGTAGGGCATGGTGGTAGGCACTGTAATCCCAGCTAGTTGGGAGGCTGAGGTGGGAGAATAGTTTGAACCCGGGAGGCGTAAGTTGCAGTGAACCAAGATCATGCCACTGCACTCCAGCCTGAAGACAGAGTGAGACTACGTCTCAAAAAAAAAAAAAAAGTATTAATTCTCCCTAATATAAAAAACTAAAATGATTCCAGCATAGTGGTTTTTTTTGTTTGTTTTAATAAAGAGCTGGGAGGGGGTGGGGAACTAGACAGTATTTTTTCCAATGTTAACTCCAGGACTTAAAAATAACCAAGAAAACTTAGAGAAAAAGAATAATGAGGGGTACTCATTATTAGTTATTAAGATATATCATAGGCTGGGAATAGTGGCTCATGCCTATAATCCCAATACTTTGGGAGGCCGAGGCAAGTAGATCACCTGGTCTGGAGGTTAGAGTTCAAGACCAATCTGACCAACAGAGAAATTCCATCTCTACTAAAAATACAAAAATGAGCTGGGTGTGGTGGTGCATGCCTATAATCCCAGCTACTCAGGAGTCTGAGGCAGGAGAATTGCTTGAATCCAGGAGGCGGAGGTTGAGATGAGCCAAGATTGTGGCATTACACTCCATCCTGGGCAAAAAGAATAAAACTCTATCGCGCAGAAAAAAAAAAAAAAAAGAAAGAAAAAATATATACATCATAAAGCTTCAATTATGTAATAATTACCTATCATAATAATATAATATGGTACTGGTTAATGAACAGACAACTGGACTATATTAGAGAATTCAGAAACATACCCAAGTACACAAAGGACACAATCCAGGTGGCACCTCAATCAGTAGGGAAAAGATAAGGTTATTCAATAAATCTTTCAAAGAAAAAAGACATCTGGAAAAATACTACTGCAAATGCATAAAAGTTTTAAATGTCAAAAAAGACAGGAAAAATTTCTTAGATAAAAGTATGGGAGAAAATTCCTTTAAAACCTTGGAGTCAGGCTTTTCTAAGTAACACTCTAAATAAAAACCATAAAACAAAAGATTGAAAATTTGATTATAAAAACATAAAAAAGAAAACTGCATGACAAAAACTCATCATAAGCAACATCAAAAGATTAATGCCAAACCAGGAAAATACTACGTTCTGTCTGGGCATAGTGTTCATATGCCTGTAGTCCCAGTTACTCAGGAGGCCAAGGCAGCAGAATCACTTGAACCCAGCAAGCTGTAGTGTGCCAAAATGCACCTGTGAATAGCCACTGCACTCCAGCCTGGGTAACACTGCGAAACCCTCATTTCTTAAAAAGAAAAAACATGGTCTAATAACATTTTCATCTATACTATGATATATTAAGTAGCTATGAATAAAAGTTTAAAGAAAAAAAAAGATGTTCTCCAATTTCTAATGAAAAAAGATTACAAATTTATTTTGTTTAATTAAAAGGCAAAGGAAAGCACTATGTATAATGTGCTTCCTTCTGCATTAAAAACAAATAAACAAACAAATATACTAGAAACTAAGAATAGTGGTTACCTGTGGTAGTGGAAGAGAACTACGAAGGTAAAATCAAGTTTGGGCACATAACTTTCTGAACCATTTGCTTTTTCAAAAAATTAAGTTAAAAAAATCAAGTAAACCACCTCTTTACTTAATATATAATATGGGCATATATACTATATAATATGTAATATGTACTATATATACATATATGTATAATAAATATATAAAATAGAATGGTCAGCAGAGTGAACACCAAAGTTAGCTGTTGTTACCTCTGGAGAGGAAAAGAATTATGAAGTAGGACTCATTTTTAACCATGTTTACACATATACACATACATATATATATATCTAGAATAAGTATGTATTATTTGAGCTATTTCACAATATTTTTTGGCTGGGCATGAGGTTTTTTTTGATCTTCATGCCTGTAATCCCAACACTTTGGGCAGCCAAGGTGAAAGGATCACTTGAGCCCTGGATTCCAGATCAGTGTGGGCAACATAGGGAGATCTTGCCTCTACAAAAATAAACAAACTTATCCGGGAGTGGTGGCACATGCCGGTGATCTCAACTACTTGGGAGGCTGAAGTGGGAGGATCACTTGGGCCCAGGAGGTCAAGGCTGCAGTGAGCCATGATCATGTCACTCACTCTAGCCTGGGCAGCAGAGCAAGATGCTATCTCAAAAAAAAAAAAAAAAAAAAAAACAACCCAAAACAACCTTTTTCATGCTATTACTTTAGATCAGTAAATAGCAATTTATAAACGTTAAGCAAAAAAAAGATTTATAACAGCCACTCTATTTTAACTTATTCATCCCTCCCTCCAAAGAAATTTTGACACAAAATGTGGGTTTTCTTTCTCTTTATTTCCTGACATGCAGTGGCTCCTCTTTATACAGGCAGCCTCATAATCTGATCGATCACCACAATTCACCACAACATGGACCCCAAAATTACAAATAGTAATCCTAAATGATTACTTTTCATAAAATAGACATATTCTTTAATATCTATGATTTGAACCTGTATTTAGAATTAGATGTAGTTGGAAAACAAAATCAGTTTTGTTATAAAACCTGGACCCCAAACTTACAAATAATAATCCTAAATGATTAATTTTCCTAAAAACAGACATATTCTTTAATATCTATTATCTGAACCTGTGTTTAAAATAATTACACGTAGTTGAGAAATAAAATCAAATAATTTTGCTACCAAAAATACTTAAATATAGTTTCAAAGTTGTTTATCTATAAACAGTTTGTAACAAGAATTGATTTTTCCCTCTCCTGAGGATATATTTTGCATCATTTAAAAAAAAGAAATTCCATTTACTGTCTATAAACTAAATACATAATTATATTTTCAAATGCCTTAAAGATAAAACTGAATCAATTTCCCCTAAATATGTGTAAGCATGCCATATAGTTATGGGTTGTCTAGTACTGTCTGTGACTCTTTTAAACAAGGCTGAAGGAAAAACGCAAATTATGCAGATTAATGCTGCTATAAATTCATTATCTTCAACTTCAAATGGGCCCTATATGATGCCTGACATCTTTCCATTTTTAAGAATGTCTACTTCCCTCCTGGTTTTGGCACCTTTCATTTCCTTTGGGTAATGATTTCACATTAGTCCAATGAAAAAAGACTCCGTAAACTTCTTACCAACAAACCAACAAACCAACAAACTTGCCTGTAGTCACAACATTCATCCATTTTATTCAAGTCACTGAACAAGAACATATATCCAACCAATATCTAGACATCTTCATTTAAATATTTCATTGCCACCTGATTTTACAATGCTAAACTAAACTCTTTATCTTACCTCCAAAACCTATTCCTTTTCTTGCATTCGTTAGGTGACTATATTGACCAACCATGTAGAAGAAATTTTCACTCACCTATAACATGTGATAAAGTTTCCTCCTAAATATTTTAAGACTAAAACTTCTGAGCTCAATTCTCCCTGCCAGCCCTGCTGTATTAACATTTCTTGTAGTTCCTTTAGTTCTGTCTCACATCTGAGCCTTTTCTGTTTGTCTCTGAATAAATAATTTCTTTTCAACACCTTTCTAAGCCAAAGCAACCTTCACATTTTAATCAAGACACCCTGTCCCACTGCTGCTGTCCCAAAACTGGGTAGGTTTCCTTGCTAAGTTTGGAGTTCCCAGAATGCCTATATTCTCTCAATATCATCACTATTTAACAGTATCATCACTTGGATTGAGTATCTTGAGGCCAAAAGCTTCAGATCATGTTGTTCCCATGTAAGTTGACGTTCTGTTCCCAACACTAAGTATAGTGTCTGAACTATACATGTGCTGAATGAGTATAAATGAACAAAACACATTAACTTACCAGTTATTTGTTGTATAGATCCATTTAAACCTGTCATTCCATTAATTTCTCGAAATGTTAGGAATTGTCCGGTCTCAAGTTTATGAGGATGATTTTCAAGACAAGTGACAATGCCAGGATTTGCCTAAAAATAAGAGTAACTTATTAAAAAAGAAGTTAATATATTCTTTTTGTACAAATTCAAATGTTAAGCAAAAATGACAAAGTTATTATAAAATCCTCAAAACCAAAATTCCAAACTATTATTCTGTTAGTAAAAGCAAGTCTTTTAAAATCTATCAGAAAATAGGGCCGGGCGCGGTGGCTCAAGCCTGTAATCCCAGCACTTTGGGAGGCCGAGACGGGTGGATCACGAGGTCGAGAGATTGAGACCATCCTGGTCAACATGGTGAAACCCCATCTCTACTAAAAATACAAAAAATTAGCTGGGCACGGTGGTGCGTGCCTGTAATCCCAGCTACTCGGGAGGCTGAGGCAAGAGAATTGCCTGAACCCAGGAGGCGGAGGTTGCGGTGAGCTGAGATTGCGCCATTGCACTCGGTGAGCTGAGATTGCGCCATTGCACTCCAGCCTGGGTAATAAGAGCGAAACTCCGTCTCAAAAAAAAAAAAAAAAAATCTATCAGAAAATAATGATTAAATTATCACTATTTTTTAAATAAATGCTGAAAATATAATTTCTATGTTTGGTAGGAGATGGGTCAAAGATTCCACAGAAATTATCAAATATTTCACAAATTCGAAAATTACTGTAATTTGTAAAAAAATTCCAAGTTATCTAATAGTTTTAAACTTTGGAAAAAACTGTAGGCATAAATGATAAAAGCCTAACATTGAAGATCAAAGAATAAAAACAAGAAGGAGAGAAATTTTAAAGATAGGAATCTGGTAGTTTACAGCTTGCACAACACTTTAAAGAAATATCGTGTAGCTTATCAGCTTATTTCCTACAGTATTAACAGCAATGCAATAAGAATCCATACCATCTTTCAGAATTTATTCTGTGTGTTATTCTCAGGGACAAGATAAAACCAACTAGAGAAGGCAAAATGTTAGCTAGGCACTAACATGCCTGGAAGAATAACTCAAGTAGAATAATAAACCACTCTGGAAGCAGAAAGATACACAACTGACTTTTCAATACATTTTTCTTTTTTTTTGAGACAGAGTCTCGCTCTGTTGCCCAGGCTGGAGTGTAGTGGCTTGATCTCAACTCAATGCAACCTCTGCCGCCGGTTTCAAGTGATTCTCCTACCTCAGCCTCCTGAGTAGCTGGGACTATAGGCGCATGCCACTATGCCTGGCTAATTTTTTGTATTTTTAGTAGAGACTGGGTTTCACCATGCTGACCAGGCTGGTCTCGAACTCCTGACCTTGTGATCTGCCCGCCTCAGCCTCCCAAAGTGCTGTGATCACAGGCATGAGCCACTGTGATTGGCCATGAAGTTTTATTAAAAAGGCATGAGAGAGACAGTACTGGGTCTCTATCACCATGAGATTACACTGGATTTAAAAAAAAAGTGTAAAGACAGAAGTACAAATTACAAATAGTGTATGTTAAAGTATATTATTATTCCCTTGTTTTGGCTTCTTTTGGACTTTAACATAGGTTGATTACAAAGAGTACAAATAAAGTAAATTATTTAGGTGAAAGGATATTAAAAGGGGATCATAATGACTTCTGCAGTTCTTTTATGGAATAAAAAATTGAACTTCTGCATGATCAAGAGTATGGTTAGAAAATTCAGACTTTTGGTTTGAAGGTTAATCAAAACTTTCTACATCTTCTAAATAATGCTTTAGAATAACAAATTAGAAATTCTTTTCTCTAATATCAATTAAGCATGTCTTTTTAAAGTGTTAGATGACTAAGAACATAATGCTTTCACTATCTGACACAATAAACAGTTCAGTAAATACTGAATCACAATCATGACTCATAGGAGGTAACATAGAATAAAATTAAAATTTATGACAAGCAAATGTCGCTGTATCAAGTGTTATTATTATTTTTGATTAATTTCTGAGATGGGGTCTCACTCTGTCACCCAGGCTGGAGAGCAGAAGAGTAAGCTTGGCTCACTGCAATGTCCACCTCTCTGGTTCAAGCTATCTACCCATCTCAGCCTCCTGAGTAACTGGGACCACAGGTACACACCACCATGTCCAGCTAATTTTTTTTATTTTTTGTAGACACGAGGTTTCACCATGTGGCCCAGGCTGGTCTCAAACTCCTGAGCTCAAGTGATCTGCTGCCATTGGCCTCTGAAAGTGCTGGGATCGTAGGCATGAGCCACCGTGCCTGGCCCTATCATGTATTATTTGTTAGAGGAAATTCAGAATATTTTTAACAATTAATATTCCAATTTTAATATAATGCAGTCAACAAATTAGCTAAATATTCTCTCATTATCTTAAAACACTATAAAACAAATTTTGCACACTGTAATACTGTGCTAATACCTACAACTTTTTGAAAACAGCATTCACATTAACTTTAACAAAATTTATTTTTAAAGTCATTAATATAATCATACTTGCGTTATGTTTGAAATGAAAATTTCTTTTGGTTCTTCTCCTGTTGTATCTAAAACTTCAAATTCATCACCGAAATCACAAAACAACCTTGACCAAATTCCATGTACATCTGCACTGATAAACTGTAAAATGGCAAAAACAAGTTCAAGCTTATTTCTATAAACAAGAAAAAAACTACCTCTACTATCTTAGGCCATTTCATGACAATTGCATTTATAATTAAGCACATCATACAGAATACAAAGTAAATCATAAACAGGATAAACTGATGTAGACTGGTTTAGGAATCAAAGATTTTCAGGACTATTACTAAAGACGTCTAGTATAACAAAATTAGAAGTAATATCATTTTTATAAATTCTATGATTTTTAAATAACAAAAATTCTGTGATTTTTAAATTTTGTGCTTGTCACAAAATTCAAGCACAACATAAAAGAAATAGATACTCTGGTTTAATAGTCTAGCAGTGAATTCTTACTTGTTATTTTAGGAGACATGAATGAAGTGCTCATTTACCAAAAGCAGCAGAGTTAATGGAAAACAAAATAGAGCTAAAAGCTGAGAGCAGTGTCTACACAAAAAGAGCTAAAAAACTGACATCACAAATCAAAGCCATGAAAGGTAAACCGTTAAGTTCTTAAACCACAAATGTTTTATTAAAAACCAATTGTTCTAACACATGGATTGTCTCTATTCTGGGAATTTGTAAAGATATTATTTTTGTGCTTAAAGCTATTTTTAGCGCTACTGCTAATAAAGAGAAATCTTTATTCTGTAATGCATCCAATCTTGCATAAAATAATGTTTTTCTAACAAAATTAAGTATGTTGATATTACGGTATAAGAACATGTTAAAATAATTTATATTCCCGATAATATGAAGTAGTGATATGTATAACAGAGACAACTCCCATTTGATCATATATTGACGTTACAGATCAAAATAGGTACATAGAGCATTTTTTCAAGACATAAAACTGAGCAGAAACTTAGATGCTTTTTTTAAAAGTTTAAAGTATATGTATTACATAAAAAAAAAGATTTCCATTTATAACCCTGTGTGGTTATTTTGTAATACCTCTGTGCCTTATTGTAAATTCACTGGGTATTCTGTCTTAATCCCATGCATAAATCACATGGGATTGTAAACCACAGCATGAATCCTCTACAAAGTATAAATATGCTATGTAAATAGCACAATTGAAAAACATTCAACACACCTCATCATAAATTATGATTTTGGCTTAGTGCCTAACTCAAAGAAACAAGTAACTTTTTCCTTTTTCCAGTGGAACAACCCCCGCAACAAAGGAGATGAAGTTAGTAACAAATTCTATTACAAGCAAAAAACTGATTTTTTCCCATCTAAACCTCCTCCCAATGTCACTATGCACCTAATTATGCTGGAGAAAAATCTAGGAGTCATTCTTGATCACTCACTCTTTCCTTCACAACTCACATTCATCTATCTACAAATTGTTAGGTCCCCTCCCCATCCCCCCGCAACTTTTTTTCATCAAAGGATACCTCAAATTTAATGACTTGTGATTATCTCTATTCCCAACTCTTGTCTAATATACCAGCATCTCTTTTTTTTTTTTCTGTTAAAGAATGTTTTATTAATACAAACTCTAAAGCACTAAGAAATTTAAATATCAATGTCATAGCAAACAGGTGTCAATTCAACATCCAGGGTTAACAGAATGCTTGAAGGAGACTGAAACAGAATGGATTCCTGTGGTGGAGAGGGCATCTTCACAGGTGAAGGGGGGCCCAGATGAAACAGCTTTTCAAGCTCTCTCTCCTCGTCAAGTATCCTAAGAGGCACTCAACTCAAGGGTAGGTGTGCAATCTGGTGCTCTTCAGGCAGGTCAAAACTCTCAAAGTCTAGAGGATTGAAGGGAAAGAATTTTTCTATTTCTGGATAGGCATCATCTGAGGCAGGAACAGAGCTTTTTGCTTTAACAGTCTTCCCATTCATCTTTTTGGCAGAAAATCTTGGCTGTTTTTGATTGAGGGGTCCACTGGTCTTTACTGCCCTTTCTGTAGCTCTGTTGACAGTTCCCAAAGCCTTTCTAGTAGCTTTAGGTAAGGCTGGTGGAGCATCAAATATTTTGCCAAAACGTGGTGTTGCAACTTGAGATCTCCAATTTAAGGCTTTGACTGAAGGTCCAGACCCCAGCTTCAGCCATTTTCCTTATCAACATAGATCTGAGAAGCCATTCTGGATTATCGCCGCTCTAAACAGCCTCCTTCCTCTGAGATTGCGATGAACCGAAGCCACCAGCATCTCTTAGCTGGACTACTGCAATAGCTGATACTGCCTCTACTCTACTCTTATAATCCAACAGTTCTATTTCTTTTGGTTATCTTTCATGACCCCTTCATATTCTTAAAAATTATTAAGGACCCAAAGAGCTTTTGTTTATGTGAGCTATACTTATCAATATTCACTGTGTTAGAAATTAAAACTGAGAGAAATTTAAATCACAAGAATATACACATTCCATTGTCAGAGCAAGGATATCACCACATATCATATAGACTCAGGAAAACTCCACTGTGCCCCCTAAGAGAATCAGAATGAAAAAGCTGACTAACATCTTAGTAATATGAAAACAGTTTGGGCAGAACCCCACTGAAAGGGTCTCAGGGATTCTTAGTGTCCCTGGACCACACTTTGAAAACTACGCTACAGTCTCTTCTCCATACAGCAAGCCATAACGATCCTTTAAAAATATAAAACAGATCAAAAACTCAAATGTTTTCAAAGATCTTATCACATATGGTCCCCAATCTACTTCTCCCAAATGAATCTTCTGGTATATTTTATTTACTCCTACTATCCTCTCTCCTCTTTACCTAATTCTGTTTTGGTCCTGCTTGCTTCTTATTGTTCATCAAAACCACCAACCTGATTTTTACACTTGCAAATGTTTACACTTGCTGATTCCCCTGCTTTGAATGCTTTCCCCCTGATCTTTAATAGCCTGTTCTACTTCACATTCAGGGCTCTTTTCAAATGTTGTCTTAGAAGACTTCTCTGACCTTGTAATCTAAGAGAACCAAAACTGGCCCCTCTCCTTACATCATGCAGCTATCATTCTCTATTTTTCTTTACTCAGATTTTTTTCATCATAGGACTTGAAACTATTTAAAAACACATTATGTATTTGTTTTCTTGTTTACTGTACATCTTCCCTAGCAGAAGGTAATTTTCATGAGTAAGAAAACATTTGTCTCTATTCACTAATGTATTTCTAGTGGCTAAAACTATCTCCAGTACATATTTAAAGAATACTCATCAAATGAACCACTGAACTTCTAGAAAATCACCATCATAATAGCATTTAAAATTAGAGGCTGGGCACCATGGCTCACGCCTTTAATCTCAGCACTTTGGGAGGCCAAGGCAGGCAGATCACGAGGTCAAGAGATCAAGACCATCCTGGCCAACATGGTGAAACCCTGCCTCTACTAAAAATATAAAAAATTAGCCAGGCGTGGTGGTGGGCACCTGTAATTCCAGCTACTCAGGAGGCTGAGACAGGAGAATAGCTTGAACCCATGAGGCAGAGGTTGTGGTGAGCCGAGATCATGTCACTGCACTCCAGCCTGGGCAACAGAGTGAGACTCTGTATCAAAAAAAAAATTAGATGATGATTTCAATGTTTATCATCTGTTCTACTCCTGATCTTAATTATTCCTTAGTTATGGCAATGTGTCTATAAACCAAACTTAAATCCTAATTTTAAAAACAGGAAATGAATATTCCAAAATTAATGAAAAAAATCTTATTGTTATTATCCTATGTAAAAAATTTCTTAGATAACCCATTAATACATTAAAAATTCTAGTAGTGAAAGTGTTCTTCCTTTGGTTAACAACATGTCATTACTAAATAATACAATTACCTTAATTGCAGGGCATTGAGAACGGCAAAAGTCATTGATCATCTTCTGCAACGGAAGTTTCATCTCAGTCAATACTACACACTGTTGAGAAAACAACAAATTAAAAACTAGAAAATACATGATTATTTTGGTAATATACAATGATCAGAAGCATGTCAGTTTGCATTGTGCTAAAGACACATCATTATTCTCCTTTGAATGTTCTAATCCAATGGAATTCTATTCCAAGGTTTATACCTTCACAGAAGTACAGAAAACAAAAGTAAAAATAACATATACAGTGGAAAACATGCACACATGAAACCTGATAACCATCACAGGCTTTCCAGTTAGAAACAAACCTTAACATCTTATGTGGTATTTATGGACTCTGAGTAATTAGATTTGTTTCATCTGTTACTGCCACACAAATACTTACCTAGCTACCAGAGTATTACTTTCATGCTAGCTCAAAAGCCTGACAACATTTTTAAGAGACACATTAGTTGGCTACTATAACATGTCTATCTATGGATTTAGTTTTTTAAATCTAGCTTGCAATATGGTTTGCTTCCTGTAGGGAGACATTCCTCCATGGGTCTCTCAGTCTATGCATGTCTCACAAGGTATGCCATGAATGCAAGGCCTTACCACTCTTTACTTGGGGCTATTTCTCAGAATTCTATTTGCTGTGTAAAAACTTGAGGGATGAGGTAAGGTCTTCCTCAGGGACAAAGAGAATTCTTAGCTTGCTTTAAAACAGCCAGTTTCCCAAGCTCAGTAGTTTTCTCTGAAGCAACCTACTAAATATGCAGGTATTCCCTGACCCCTCTGCCTTGTGCTAGAGGCACTTGAGAGGCAGAGGGGCGAGGAAGAAAATGCAATATAATGCTATTCTTTATTATGCACTGAGTAATAAACTTCTGGGTCTCTGATCCAGGAATTTCATATTTCCTGCATCTGTGAAACAGTAACAGACTAATTAGTTTGCAAATAATAAAAAAATCAAACACTAGACCCAACACATATTGAATCTGATTTATGTTTTATCAATGTTAGAAAATATTCCACCATAATTTATTTGAATATTGCCCTTTTCTACTGCTTTCTAACTAGAAATCCAATCTCATAAATTGGACTTTTCATTCAAGCTCTCATTTATTTTAACTTGTCCATATTTTTTCTTATTTCTTATTTTTGGGTTTCTCTTTTTGAGACAGTCTTGTCTTGCTCTGTTTCCCACGCTGGAGTACAGTGGTGTGATCTGGGCTCATTACAACCTCTGCCTCCCAGGTTCAAGTGATTCTCCTGCCTCAGACTCCGGAGTAACTGGTATTACAGGTGCGGGCCACCACTCCCATTGGGTTTCACCATGCTGGCCAGGCTGGCCTCAAACTCCTGACCTCAGGTTTTCTACCTGCCTTGGCCTCCAAAGTACTGGGATATTTTCTCTTATTTCTATGTGGTATAGTTTTCATAATTCCTCAGGTCTATCTTTCAATTCACTAATGCTTATTCCAACTATATCTATTGACTATCCACTGAATTTTAATTTTTAGCACTTTATGTTCATTTTCATAAGTTATACTTCGTTCTTTATCACATCTGCCTGGTCTTTTTCAACAGAGTCTTATTTGTATATTATATATTTAATCCCTTCTTTTGAGATTTAGTTTTGAATATCTGTATTTTATAAACTTTCTTAAATAATTCTATTCTTTTAAATTCTTGGAGGTAGGCCAGGCGTGGTGGCTCACACCTGTAATCCCCAGTCTGGCCAACATGGTGAAACCCCACCTCTACTAAAAATACAAAAATTAGCTGGGCATGGTGGTACATGCCTGTGATCCCAGCTACTAGGGAGACTGAAGTAGGAGAATTGCTTGAACCCAGGAGGCAGAGTTTCCAGTAAGCCCAGACTGCGCCTACTGCACTCCAGCCTGGGAGACATAAGACTCCATCTCAAAAAAAAATTCAAAAAAAATTCTTGGAGGTTTAATAGCTTGTTATATTCACTAACTCTTGGTCATACTGAACTGCTTTTTCCCATCTTGTTATTTTGTAGTTTTAACTCAAAGGGACTTTATATATTAGAATACACTGTAACTTAGTTGAGGGTATATTTCTCTAGATTTGTTCAGTTTTGTTTTTGTCTGGCACTCTAGGGTATGGCCATTATAGTACTACTTTTTACATTAAGCTCTCAGTTCAGGAATTTCCAGATCACAAAAGATTATAAAGTTTAATCTCTAAACCTATGTGACAGTAGGCCTATGGTTATGAATTCCCTAGGAAAACCTTTACTTTTCATCCAGAACTCAAGAGAAAACAGACAAGCTTCTTGTTCTGATCAGAAAAGATTGTTCTTGTCTACCCTTTCACTGAGGGTATAGCTCTTTGATGCTCCAGCTTTATGAAGAAGGGGAGGTCTCAATTCCATTTCTCTAATTCATGTAGTTCTGAATCTTCTGTTTCTGTGTGAACATTAATTCCCAAGAATTTTGCTTACTGTGACAGGCAACTCCTGTCACTGAGAGTAACAGTTCATTTGTCTTTTAGCTAACTGTTCATTTGTGTCCCCTGAGCATTTTCCTTACATTATTTTGAGCTCGGATAATCATTTAAAAGGAAGTGCGTTTAGAAATGCTAGGTGTTTTATACCAGGATGAATTTTAAGTTATCTATTTCAGAATAGAAGTTTAAACTCAATTCTAAATGGGTAACAGCATAATTTACTCACAGAAAAAAAAATAATAGGGTCAACCTAGTCACTTTTATAATATCCAAGGTCCTGGGAATTTTTTTGTTGTTATTTAAGGAATTGTTAATAGATTTTTTTGTTATATAAGGAATTGTTACCTATAATAGATTGAACTATTGATCCATGTATTTTTACTCCTCTGTAATTATACTGCTTCCCCATGGCTTTAGGAAGAGTACTTTTTTGCTTCTTGACTTTAGGCTGGATAATGTGACTTGCTTTGGCCAGCAGGATGTTAACAGACATAACAAAAACAGAGGCTTGAAATGTGCACGTGTGGCTGGACTTGACCTTCTGTTTCCGTTACTACCATGAGAATATGACGTAGGTAGCCTCCTGGTCCCAGAAGAGAGACACACAGAGCAGAACCCAAACTCTGAAGTTTAATTCAGCCTAGAAACCCCAACTGACATGCAGGAGCTATAAATCAGAATTTTGAGTAGTTTTTAATGCATATTACTGAGAAAAGAGCCAAATGATATAACTACTTGGCAGTAGTTCTTAGGTCCCTTCCTTAAAACGGAGAATTTGAAGTTTTATTCTAGTATCTCTTCTACCTTGAAATGTTTTTGTTCTGTTTCTCAATACAGTAGGTTAAACTAGTTAAGCATATTAACACTTAACAATTTTGCCTTGGAATCTCTCAGTAACATTTAATACAAAATGGAGTACTAACCTGGTATTTATCTAAAAAGGAGAGATCTGTAGTCTCATTGAAAGGAACAGAAGATGACGTGACATGAACATATGGATTCAGTTCTGCAATATGTTTAAGTACAGCTTCAGCCCTAAAAAAATAAATAAGTAAATAAACCTTTACTGTTGTTTCATTCAACATATTCAAATCTCTTAAATTTGGACACTGTAATGACATCAGAGGAACCTGACATGTTACAAAATTTCAGTGGAAACTTACCTTGTAGAAGCAAGAAACCAAGACTTACTTGTCTTTACAGATTACTATATAGTCTGTACCACACAAAGTGTACCCTAATAGTTCCAAGCTCCAGGTTCCTTAACTTTCTTAATAATTTAGCAATATTAAAGTCCTTCTTTAATAAATTCAAAGAAATAAATTTCTATGTAAAATATTTGACAAATACAAATAATTAAGTAAGTACATACCAATATTTATTTAGCCACAGTAGTATGGATTTATGGTGATCAATTAAACGACTATAACTGATTGGTATTGTAGATAAAGGAAATATTCTAAGTAAATGAGAGTAAAAAAAAAAACCTCAGGATAATACATGAAAATATCTTTACCTGTTTCTTTTATTAACAACATCATCTTCACTGAGAAAGAAGTTGGTTCCTAGATCCCATGCTTGGCATTTTTCTGTATCATGAATTGTAACTGCCTTCAAAAAAGAAAAAAGTATCAGTTGAAGTCAAGAGTTCAAGGATACTCTCTCTATTACTACTGACAATGCAATAGAAGTATTCTTTTGTGTAACTAGATAATGAAAAGTAAGCAAAGGCTTAAGAATTAGAAAGAATATAAAATTAGATCAATATACATCTGGAGACCCCAATAAATTGATGGAAACATTTCTTTAAACTTGAAGATAATTTAAATTAATAAAAGTATCATGTTATAAAAATCAATGGCTGGGTGCGGTGGCTCACACCTGTAATCCTAGCACTTTGGGAGGCCGAGGTGGGTGGATTGTGAGGTCAAGAGATCGAGACCATCCTGGCCAACATGGTGAAACCCTGCCTCTACTAAAAATGCAAAAATTAGCTGGGCGTGGTGGTAGTCCCACCTCCTCAGGAGGCTGAGGCAGGAGAATTGCTTGAACTTGGGAGGTGGAGGTTGCAGTGAGTCGAGATCATGCCACTGCACTCCAGCCTGTCAACAGAGGGAGACTCCGTCTCAAAAATAATTAAATAATCAACAAAAAAATCCAGATAACCCATATAAACAAACACTTCAAAATATTCCATGTTTTAAGAAAGATAATTAATGAAGTAGAAAAAAATACTTGTATCACAGGCCACAAACCTTATAGAAAGAGAAACAAGAATAATGAACATACTGAAAAAGAAATGTACATGATCCTTGAAAATATGTAAAGATGTACAACCTTGCCCAGAAATAAAACATCTTTTCTTACTTGTTAGATTGGCATAAATCCAAAGACTGACAACAGAGTGGTGAAGGTGAGGTGAATCAGTGACTTTCATGTATTACTGATAAAAATGTAAAGTGGCTCAACCTCAATGTAAAAGAATTTGGCAATCTCTAGCAAAAAGGCAGATGCATTTGTCCTTTGACACAGCAATCCCACTTTTAGAATTCTATCCCAAAGACACACTGGGAAAAATACAAAAAGATATATATACAAGAGTATTAAATGTAGCACACTATTTGTAAGAGCAAAAGACTGGAACAATCAAAATGTCTACCAATGGGGAACTGGCTATAAGATGACACATCCACACAATGTATAACCATGCAATTATTAAAAAGAGAATTAAAGACTTATTTATAAATATGGAGTAATCTCTAGGATATGCTGTAAAGAGACAGCAAGGTAAAGAAAAGCAGAGCACTTTATATGAGAAACAGGAAGAGATAAACACATATACTCACACACAAACAGATATGCATGTATGTATGTATGTATTTGCTTATCTACAAAAACAAATGAAGTATAAACCAAATATAGTAAGACAGTAATCTAATAAGTGAAGAAGAAAATAAGGTAGCAAGAACCTAGACTTACCTGAAAATACTTTAATAAATCTGACTTTGAATCATATCAGGCTCACATTAATAAACTAAACTTTTTAAAAAGCAACCCTAAAAATCCAAAGCAAAATGAATACATAAACTGTTTACTGAGTCTACTATACACAGTGACTTTTAAAAGCAGTTAATTTGCCTGCCAAACCCAGGTAGGATCAAAAAAGTGTGAATTTAAAAAAATAATATATTAACAATATTGGAATTAGTATTCTAAAACTATGACATACAGGTAAAATGTAACAGGATAAAGGATATATATGATATATAGGATAAAGCATGTAATTTATCACTAGAAATCAAGACCCTAATAATAAAAGACACAAATATAAAATCACAGAAATAAATATCCTATAATCCAAAGGAAAAATTGAACTTTTAGTAATACTTTATAAGCCTAAACCTGAAAATTAGAAATTTCAGTGTTTACTCATTATGAATATTCTAGCTCTGACAACTGAAAAGACTTTGAAAACAAAGAGTGAGAAAGACTACTGGAGGCTGTGTCCAAAAGCCTCAAAAAACATAAAGAGAACCACAATACACAAAGATGGAACAATCTGAGTATCAATGAAAATAACTATAATAGATCAAAACACATCAAATTATATTTAAATCTAGTTTATCATAATGTATATATACATATAAATTCACTGACCAATACTAGGGAATGATGACAGGAAGCCCCTGATTTTGAAAACTGGTTAAGTTTAACGGGAAAAAATTTAGTATTTATCCTAAATTTTATATATGTACAATTCATACTTTTGTGATACCAAGTAAGTGATGGCTGGAATTTTTTTCTAAAATATAATTCCAGCTAATAAATGAGAAAAGAATAAAATATCAGACTGCCACTAATGAAATAGTGAATCTAGGCAATAATCATTAACAGCTAATAATAAACACAAAAAGAGAGACAACAGAATAGTACTGTCTCCTGATGGGAGAACAGCTATGAAATAGTCTTGCCAAAAAGAATTAAATAGAATTGGATTATCTGGCTCTAACTACCAGTTTACAGGAAATACACAGGTAGAAGTACAAGTGACAAATGACTGGTTTCTATAACAAATAAATTGCAACAAAACAAATTAGAGAAGGGAAATCTATAGATTAAAATAAACCAAGTTTTCAGTATATGAATTTTACTTGGATCCTGATTAGATCGTCACAAGCTTTTAATAAAATTTCTTAAGACATCTGGGAAAATTTGAACTCTAACTAGATATCTGATGACTGTGGTAGGCAAGCTTTTAAGATGGTTACAATGCTTCCTGATTCAGTATTTAGGCCTTTGTGTGATCTCCCACCTTGAGTGTGGCCCGGACCTACTTCTGAGATTAGGTTACAAAAGACTGACTTGTCTTGTTAACACATTCTTCTCTCTTGTTTATTCTGATGAAGCAAACTGCAACACTGTGAACTGCCCTATGGAGAAAGCCATACAAGCAAGGAATTAAGGGTGACCTCTGGTCAAGAACCAGCAGGAACTGAGGTCCTCAGTCCAATAATCCATGAAGAACTAAATCCTACCAAGAACCACAAGATCCAGCTTGGGAAGCAGATCCTTCCCCAGTCTAGCCTCAAGATGACTTAAGGCCCTGCTAATACCTTGACAGCAGCCTTGTAAGAGACTCCCAGAGAAATCCCAACCAGAGTCATGCCTGAATCATGACTCACAGAAACTATGAGATAATAAATGTTTCATTTTTTTTTTGAGACGGAGTTTCGCTTGTTACCCAGGCTGGAGTGGTGCAATGGCGCGATCTCGGCTCACCACAACATCCGCCTCCTGGGTTCAAGCAATTCTCCTGCCTCAGCCTCCTGAGTAGCTGGGATTACAAGCACATGCCACCGTGCCCAGCTAATTTTTTGTATTTTTAGTAGAGATGGGGTTTCACCATGTTGACCAGGATGGTCTCGATCTCTTGACCTCGTGATCCACCCGCCTCAGCCTCCCAAAGTGCTGGGATTACAGGTGTGAGCCACCGCACCCGGCCCAAATGTTGTTTAAACTAATAATTTTGGAGTAAACTGTTTTACAGCAACAGGTAAACTAATAAAATGATATTAAGAATTTGTTTTTAAGTGTAAAATTATATTGCTGCTTCAAAAGATACTCTTATCTTTTAAAGAGAATACTAAAATATTTAAGGATGATACAATACAATGTCTGAAATTCACATCAAAATAATTTGGCAGTTGGGGGCAGTAGGAAATGGGAAGGAGATATATGAAACAAATGTGCCCATGAGTTGGTAACTGAAGCTGTCTGATGGGTATGTAGGATTTTGTTAAACTATTCTTTCTACTTTGTGTATTTGTGAAATATCCGTGATTTAAAAAAAAAGTAGAGCATTAAAGACAATTAAAACAATATTGTTGTGGTAAATATCACCATGACAAATGAGCCAAAAAAAGGCTCATAACAACTTTTCTTACAGAGGACATTTACTTACCTTAATCCCTGCAAGAACAAGATTCTTTGCTAGAAAGGCAAAAGAAAAAGGAATAGCTCAATATTGAGAATACAATCTCGATATGTCTTCATAGAGCTTAGTCATATATCTGACTGGATACTTTTTAACTTTTTTTTTTTTTACTACTTTATACAAGCTCCTTGTCTTAAAAAAGTTACAAAATACAGATTAAAAATGAAAAAATTAAACTGTACATAATTACAACACCCAGTAATAATCACTCCTAAAATTTCAATGTATTCTTCCAGACATGTTTTTATGAATACAGTATATGTATGTGTGCTACTTATAATGAATTAATGGATATAGAGAATGATAGTTAATGGTTATTAACATCACAAAAAGAAGCAATGAGTCATCACTGGTTCTTTATAAGAACATAACAACATCAGGGAATAGTCTTGCTAAAGATCAAAAACTTAATCTGATCAACATTCTGGATCTAGTTTCCTTTATAGAAAATATGAGGGGAAGAAGTTATTTAAACTACCCTTATAACGCTCAAAAGTATCACACAAAATTATGAATGTAAATACTGCTTACCAATTTCCAAGCCAAGACCACCCATGCCACTTAAGAAAACATGGGACTTGGCCATCTTCTGCATTGCTGTGTCTCCAAGAACGTACCTCTGTCGACTACGTGGAAAACACAATAAAAAACAAAAAATTATTTCATTAAAATTATATATCTCTTAAAGTTGTTTGCAAACTAAAAGCCTAGGAACTCAATCCTGCCCACAGACTTGTCTGAATGATTTGCACAGTGTTTAAACATTTCTGAATTAAATGCCAAATATATGACATATTTTGAAAAATCAGATAATTTGGCACCACAATCCATATTCCCTCAAGGCAATAGACAGATGGAGTTGAGTAGGAGTTGCCCTGTTTAGGCAGGAGGATTATGTGCTCCAGATTTGTCGCAATCAATTCCTTCCTGTTGCTCTCATTTATTACCTCAGTGGCCACTATAGGCATTTGAGTTTGCCATCTCCACCTTAAAATTTTCACTATAAACAGAATTTCTGAGGGGGGGAAAAATTGGTTCCTTTTTGGAGTTCAGATGTCATATTAAGGGACCTTGTTAAGTTATGCATCCTAATAGCCACAAGGTAGTATGAGGATGAGAATTTCAAAAAATACATGTTAGCAATTTAAAAGTCAGATATACTAATAAAGTCAAATGTATTTACCCGAAAAAACAATGAGAAATTTGATGCTATCTTTGAAGATAATATAAATTCCAATGAATTCTTACGAGAAACATTTTAAAGATTAGTTCGATACAAATAAATAATTTCAGAACCCTTTGGGTTGTAAGTATTTACTTTCAGAATTAACACACATGTTTAATGCACATTTGCTTTAAAAATAAATACTTTATTTCCATTATGTTAGCTTTTCATATTCAACATACAAGCCTGAAAAAAGGTTTCTTATCTAGAGAGACAAAACTTTATAAACACAACCTATCTTTATGTCCTTCCCTGTTTCATACAAAATACAATAAAACGTAAACTTTTCTTTTTAAATGGGCACTCAAAACTTTCGTTTTAGAAAGTAAAAACTATCCATTTCCACATCAAAAATTTACTATGGTAAGTATGAAAATGTCTTATATAGTCTCACCACCCTTATGTGTATACAGAAATAATATACTTAAGTTTTGCCTGATTTTAGACTTTATATAGATGGAATCACTTTGAATGTCTTCTATCTTGTTTCTTTTGAATGAAATTATTGACTTATATTGATGTCTGTGACAGGTCATTAATATTCATTTATATTGTATTCTGACCATTCTTATAAACATCTCCTCATACACAGTTAGAGTTGTTTCTTTAATACAAGCTTGTCCAACCCATGGTCCACTGGCTGAATGCAGCCCAATACAAATTCATAAACTTTCGTAAAACATTATGAGATTTTTTTGCAATTTTTTTTTTTAGTTCAGCAGCTATCATTACTGTTAATGGATTTTATGTGCGGTCCAAGACCATTATTCTTCCAATGTGGCCCAGGGAAGCAAAAAATTTGGACACTCCTGCTCTAATGTATATCCCCAGAGAAAAAATGCAGGATTTAAGAATATGTATATCTTCAACTTCATAGATACTGCTTTTCCAAAGTGATGTACCAGGCCGGGTGCGGTGGCTCACGCTTGTAATCCCAGCACTTTGGAAGGCTGAGGTGGGCAGATCACTTGAGCTCAGGAGTTCAAGACCAGCCTGGGCAACACAGCAAAACCCTGTCTCTACAAAAATTACAAAAATTAGCCGGGTGCGGTAGTGTGTGCCTGCAGCAAGTCCCAGCTACTGAGATGGCTGAGGCAGAAGAATCACTTGAGCCTGGGAGGTGGCGGTTGCAGTGAGCCAAGATCATGCCACTGCACTCCAGCTTGGGCAATGGGAGTGAAATCCTGTTTCAAACAAAACAAAACAACCCGTCCCCGGCCCCAAACCCAAGTGGATACACCAGTTTACCCTTCTTTCGGCAGTGTATCAAAGTCTCTGCAATTTCATATCCTGGCCATACAGCCTAGCCTTTAAAAGGGCATGCTTAAAGTGCTAGCCCTTGGCTGGCACTTGCGAATTTGGCTTTTGAAATATCTCCTATGCTAATAAATCTAATTTTCTTTTTTTTCTAGTTTTCTGAAATAAAACCCATTAATATTCAGATTTTAGTTTCTAAACTAACGTTGAGTATTCCAAGTTTTGATAAGAACACTTTATTATTTTCCAATTTTAATAATGATTCTTTTTTATGTGTTAATCCAAAGTATATTTTGAAATTTCTAATTTTATGGGGAATTTTTAAGTTATCTTTTGTATTAACTTCCCACTTACATGCATTGTGAATAGGTATCACAACCTGTATGATTTAACTCTTCAATATTTGGGAATTTCTTCTGACATTTTTACAAACAGTTGCGTGTGTTCCTGGAAAGAAAGTGGACTCTACAGCTGTTAAAGATACAAGGTTTGGCCCAGTGCATGGCTTACGCCTATAATTCCAGCACACTGGGAGGCCGAGGCAGGCAGATCACAAGGTCAAGAGATCGAGATTGTCCTGGCCAACAGGGTGAAACTTTGTCTCTACTAAAAATAACAAAAATTTGCTGGGCATGATGGCATGCGCCTGTAGTGCCAGCTACTCAGAAAGCTAAGCAGGAAGATCGCTTGAAACTGGGAGGCGGAGGTTGTAGTGAGCAGAGATTGCACGACAGAGCAACACTTCATCTCAAAAAAAAAAAAAGATATGAGGTTCTTTATATGTGCATTAGGTTAATTTTATAATTTTGCTGATGAAATCTATACTTGTTGATTTTCTGTCTGCTTGTTCTCTTGATTACTAAAAGCAGTATTTCAAAAATCTCCCACTACAACCATAAATTTGTCTATTGTCCTGGTATCTCAATACCTGAACTGTGCCTGACATGTAATAACTAAGTTTTAAACTATGCACCACATGTTGTTTTGTTTTACTTGTATTAACTCATTTATTCCTCACAAAAATACTATGAGATAATTTCCATTATTATTCTCATTTTTACAGATAGGAATACATAAGCACCTAGAAATTAAGTAGTTTATAAATAGTGGAGGTAAGATTCAACCCAGGCAGTCTAGCCTTAGTATCCATACTCTTAACCATTATGCCGCAATGCATACAGATTAGGAAAGTCAAATCATTCCTCAAGGTTTATGGGAGAGAAAGCAAAAAACAACACCATCAGTTCCTTGACCTAATTCTTTCCTACCCTGATTCCCACTCCCCAAAGATAACTAGTCTCAATTTTTCAGTTTTTAATATTCACTCCCATATTTCTAAAAACATGTGTAAACTTTTATTTCTTGATTTTTTCCAGTTCTATATATTACCTATTAACTTCCTACTGAGAAAGATAAATAATCTTTCTGAAACAAATCTAGTCAAACCATTTTCTTGCTTAAAAAACCCCAATGGTTTTCTATTTCCTTTAGTCACAAGGCATTCATAAACTAGTCCCTGCTTAGTTCCTAGTCTCATCTTTTGCTTCAGGATGAATCATACCCGATTTAGACGAGACTGGACATTTTGGAGTTGATGTTAGAACCAGTTCAGACTTTTGTTACTATATTTTGCATTATGAGAAGGATAAAAATTTGGGGGTCCAGGAGCAAATGCTATGCTTTGAATCTGTTCCCCAAAGTTTGTGCATTGAAACCTTAGTCCTTCTTAGCTAGGGCCTAATGGGAGGTGTTTAGGTCATGAGGCCTCTACCCTCATGAAGTAATACCATTATTGTAGAAGTGGGTTACATCTAAGTAGGTTCAGCTCCCTATTTCAGCCCCCTATTGCCCTCTCTTACTCTTGTCCTTCTGCCTTCCACCATGGGATGATGCAGTAACAAGGCCCTCATCAAATATGACCCCTTGATCTTGTGCTTCCTAGCCTCCAGAACTCTGAGCCAAATAAATTTCTGTTTAGTCACCAAAGGGAAAGGTACTAATTAAGTGCCTTCTTTCTGCCAAGTAATATGTCAGATACTTTGTAGTTAAATGACACTTAAATGCTATGAAGTTCATAAGGTTAATAGGTAGTAAAGACAGGATTTAAAGAGCTGAGAGTATAACTGCAAGTCCAGTATTGTTATATTACAGCTGACTCTACTACGTGACTATATAACAGTGAATGTTATTAGCAGAATATAAAGCAGAAATTCCTATTAAAATTTCACCCTTTTATGAAAGAACAATATCGTCCTATAGTTTTCACTTACTAGCCTTAGTTTTATCCCCTTGGGGCCATAGAGAACTTGTCTAAATTCTTCTTTGATGTAATACCCTTCCAAACATTTGAATATGGTATTCAGGTTCTAGAGTTTTCTTTCTCTAAGCTAACATCTCCAGTTCCTTAAACAATTCCAAGCATCACATCATTTTGAGTCTCCCTCAACACTAATCAATTTCTTCTGGACACACTTCATTATCTTCACCATGCATGCATACATTTATTAACATACCAATTTTGAGCCAGGCACTTGCTTGGAGTTCACTGTGCAGAGATCATAACCACAACTTCATATGGCTCCTATGAGGATTACATATTAAATAAAATACATAACTACTAGAATGCCTGGGATATGCTACTGGGAGAGACAGACAAAAGATGAGTGGTTGCCTGGAGAAATGAAAGTTGGAGTGAGAAGAAAAAATTGCAAAGGGGCACAAATAAAATGTTTGGGTGTGATGGCTCACTCCTATAATCCCAGAAATTTGAGAGGCTGAGGTGGGAGGATGACTTGAGACCAGGAATTTGAGACCAGCCTGGGCAATATGTTGAGACTGCATCTCTACATAAAAATGTGAAAATGAGCCAGGTGTGATGGCACAAACCTGTGGTCCTACCTACTCAGGAGGCTGAGGTGGGAGGATTGCTTGAGCCTAATAGTTTAAGGTTACAGTGAGCTATGATCATGCCACTGTACCCAAGCTTGGGCAATAGAGCAAGATCCTGTCTCTAAAAAAAAAATCAGAAATGCCCTACAGTTTTTACATCAAATCTTTAAGACTATGATATTCTTCATTTTTATCTTTATTTATTTATTTTTTTTCTGAGACAGTCTTGCTTTGTTGCCCAGGCTGGAGTGCAGT